ACTGTCTCCACTCCTCTAGCGCCCATTTTATGGCCAGCAGTTCATGATCACCCATGCCATACTTCTGCTGGGTGGTGTAAAACTTCCTAGAGAAGCAGGCGCGGGGACGGAATCTGTTGTTGGGCCTGCCTTGGGACAGGATGGCACCGGCACCGACGTCCGAGGCATCGACTTCGACCACGAAGGGCTCCATAGTCTCTGGATGGCGTAGGATAGGGGCCGACGTGAACCGGGTGACCAGGTGGCGGAAGGCCCGAATGGCGTCTGGATTTAGACGGAACGGTTGGCCGGGTGGGCTTGGTCGGGTGAGGGAGGTGAGCAGTGCAACAATGGTGCTGAAGTTCTTAATAAAACGGCGGTAAAAGTTGCAGAAGCCCAGAAAACTCTGTAGCTGTTTTAGGCTCGTAGGAAGGGGCCAGTCAGTGACTGTCTGGACCTTCTGAGGGTCCATGGTTATGCCCTGATCTGAAATCATGAAGCCCAGGAATGAGATGGTCTGCTGGTGGAAAGAGCATTTCTCGGGCTTGCAGTATAGGTTATTGTTCAGGAGCCGGGTCAGGACGGCACGAACATGGTGGAGGTGTTCGGCCTCAGACTTGGAGTAAATTAGGATGTCATCCAGTTAGGCAAACACCCACTGGCCCAGCATGTCGCGGAGGACATCGTTAAAGAGGCGTTGAAATACGGCGGGGCTATTGCACAACCCGAAGGGCATGACCTGGTACTCCCAATGACCGGTGGGTGTGATGAATGCAGTCTTCCACTCATCCCCAGCTTTGATGCGGACCAGATTGTAGGCGCTCTGGAGGTCCAGTTTTGTGAAGATCCGCGCCTGGGAGATGGAGTACAGAGCAGTCATGAGGAGTGGCAGGGAATGGCAGTCCCTGATAGTGATCTTGTTTAGACCCCGGTAATCTATACAGGGACGAAGGTCACCTTCCTTTTTCTTCAAAAAGAAGAAGCCTGCAGCACCCGGGGAAGAGGAGGGTCGGGTGAAACCCTGCTGGAGGGCCTGGTTGATATATTCTTCCATAGCTCTGGATTCGGAGGGAGAGAGAGAGAAAAGGTGCCCACAGGGAGGACTGGTACCTGGTTGTAGCTTGATCTCCATGTCCTATGGGCGGTGAGGCGGCAGTGTGGTGGCGTGTCGCTTATCGAAGATTGCGGCCAGGTCCCAATAGGGTAGTGGCAGATTGGGCGGCAGAGGCCCAAGACCACCAGCCGGGCAGTCTGCCATGGGTGGAGGAGGAGAGAGGTGGACCTGGCACTGGGTCGCCCAGCCTAAAAGGCAGTTCTGGGACCAGGAAATCTGGGGGTCGTGGAGACGGAGCCAGGGGAACCCCAGGATTAGAGGAGAGGAGGGAGCAGAGATGATGAGAAAGTGGAGGGTTTCCCGGTGGCCTTGGAGGACCATCTGGAGTGACTAGGTTCGGTCTTGGACAGGATAGGGCTGGAGAGGTCTGCTGTCCACCGAGGTCACCGGAACAACTCGTTCCAGGGGAGTCAGGGGGATCCGTAGGCGTTTAGCCAGATCCACATCCATGAAGTTGTCGGCGGCCCCCGAGTCCACCAGAGCATGTACCTGATGTGAGGTCTCGTCGTGAAAGAGGGTGACAGGAAGGAGGAGTCAGTGGGAAGAGATAGGGGCAGAGGGTGACCCGGGCTGAGCTACCCCGATACTCACTGGGTTCCTCCGTTTCCCGGCCATAATGGGAAGTCCAGGCGCCGGTGGTCAGGAGAGCCAAAATAGGCACAGAGACCCTCGCGCCACCGTCGCTGTCTCTCCTCCGGGGGAAGGTGGCCTAGCTGCATAGGCTCCTCAGTGGAAGTGGGTCCAGAAGCTGGCGTGGTGAACGAGGAAGAGGTCCAGGAGCTCTGAGTGGGCGAGTGGAGGACCTGGGTCGAACCAGAACCCGCTGGTCGATGCGCAGCGCCAGGTCGGCAACCTCATCCAGGGTCTGGGGCAGTTCTTTTCCTGCCATCTTGTCTCGGATGTAGGGCACCAACCCCTCCAAGAAGAAAGCTCGAAGGGCAGAGTCATCCCACTGTAGTTTGGCTGCGATGGTGCAAAACTCTGACGCATAGGCGCACACCGAGCGTTCCCGTTGGCGGAGCTTTAAGAGACATGCTTCAGCCCCCACTTCGCTACTGGGTGGAACGAAGGTCTTCCTGAGGGTGGCCACAAAAGCAGCATAGTCATTGCAGGCAGGGGATTTAGAATTATAAAGAGCAGCGGCCCACTCCTGAGCACGTCCAGAAAGCAGGGAGGTGAGGTACGCAACCCGAGAGCGGGCAGTGGGGAAGCGTCCTGGTTGGCACTCGAATTGCATATCAAGGGAGGCGAGCAGACCATCTGGGCTCCCAACCTCTCCATTCCACCTCTCCGGTAGGCTGAACTGCGGCTCCTCCTTAGGTGGAGCGAGGGCTTGCTGCTGGAGAGCATTGAGGGATGTGGTCAATTGAAGGGTGAGGTCGGTCAGGGAGTTCACCTTGGTGTTGAGCCGATCGACCAAGGTGTGGAGCTGAACAATCTCATTCTTCATTTGCTCAAACTCCGCTGGGTTAACGGACTCGGTCATCCTGTCAGACTGGTCGGCTGGATACGGGAGATGAGCTTGTAGAGAGCGTGGTCTCACAGACAAGGAAGTGATAGCGTCGGTGAAACGCCGGCTCACGGTTTAATCTAGGAATTCAATGAAGTGACACGGAAATGCTGGGTTTTCCAGAAGTAAGTAAGAACACTTACTGGGAGTTGTGGTCCATGGTGGAGGTCAGCTAGCTGGGAGAGGCTGGTTTGGGGACCTGGGTTCTGACAGGATGGGTGCATTTCCACTGGCCGTGAAGTGGTGTGTTTTGTGTTCATCCTCGTGTTGCATCACTGTGTTAAATTTAGGCTTTGAGTCTATTTTTTATGTGCTACCTTTCCAGAATGTGCTTAGCTCAACAGTTCAGAGCAGGCCAGACAGGAAGTCAAACAGCAGTGTAAAACGTCATTTCAAAATAAAAGTCTTGCACAGATTTCCAGTTGCTTTACTGGTAAAAAAAAAAAGGTATGTCATCACCTGTTAAACCTCTGTAACCAATCTCCTGTAATTTTGTGACTTTGCGGGACCAGCTCTGTGAAACATTTTCCCTGCCGTTTCACATCTGAAACACGCCTGGTAGGAAGGGAGCTCACAGGTAAAGCTATTACATTACACGCTGCTTACATATGCAGTGGAAAGCCGGGGTGAGAAACCACTCTAATTGACTTGTCAGTGAGCTACACCCCAGATGATCTGGCAGTATCTGACATAATGCTTTAGCTATATAAATATTCAAAAATGTTGTTGCAACTGCTTGTGAATGATCTTTTTCTTTGTATTTACATTTTACAGCATGTCTGTTATGATTTTTATTTTTTATTTTTATGAGGAGGGGGGTGATGGTGTTATTTTGTATTAATACTGTTTGATTGTTTCACAGGCTGTGCTTCCAAACTAAACCAGAGGATGATTGTTATAAACCATTGTTCATCTTGCTTTGCTGTAACCCTGCATTTCTATTTTATATTTGGCATAAAACCTCTGGGAAACAGCATCTTTGTGTGAGTGTGTGTGTGTGTGTGTGTGTGTGTGTGTGTGTGTGTGTGTGTGTGTGTGTGTGTGTGTGTGTGTGTGTGTGTGTGTGTGTGTGTGTGTGTGTGTGTGTGTGTGTGATAAATGTGTTTAATCTGCTCGAGCCTGAAGCAGGGCAAGTAAGAAACATGGGAGGATTACCAAGAGTCCTTGTTGATTTAAACCTCGGTCGAGTTCATCACCTTCTTTTTTGAATTTACAACCTCTGCCCACAAATCTACATGATTAATAAATAAAAGAAAGCAACGATGAGGAGTTCTGTGAAAACAACAAAATTATAACTATTTATTAATTTTCTATCCCTCAACTCTACTATAATTTATTGACCTACATTAAAAAAAACAGTATTTTCACCAAAATTTTATTTAGTAACACTTTACAATTAGGGTCCTTCTTTTCATCTTACTATGTGCATTATTAAGCATTAATAAACAGTTTATTAAATCATTAACAACCCTAACTATATTATGTAATGCATAATCAGACCACCCCGCTTTTTGTCCTAGCCTTAATGACACTTAATAGTTGACACAAACAGGAACGTTAATAAAGGGCACCCTTTGTTAATTAATGCTTAATAATGCACTAAGTAACGGTATTAAAGAGATGTCAGAAGTGTAAATAACACTTATCACTAGGTTGGAGCAGATACCACTGGAGCCTGATCTGTCCTGAACTAATCTGGTCTATAGAGATTATTTCATCGTCCTAGTAAGTGTGAGTTCTTTTTCTGAGACTTATTGGGTTTTATGAAGGGCATCAGGTTTTTCAGAGGTGTAAGAATGAGGGCAGAGAAACAGTGGTGTGTCCAGATCTTTTAAAATGGGGTGGCCCAGGTGAGGCACAACTTTGTGCATGGGTGGCACCAATGGCTATGCTTTTTTGTTTTACCCCCCAAGTCTTTTTTGGACAATGAAAAGCCTATTTAAAGGTAAATTAGTGTGGTGGCACCTGGGGTGGCCAATCAGATTCCAAGGGTGGCATGTGCTACCTCAGGCCACTCCCTGGACACGCCCCTGCAGAGAAACTATGCTGGGACTTAGCTTGCATAAGCTGGCCAGCTGTGTGTTTAATATGCTTTGAAATATGTCTTTAATAATGTCCAGTGTTTATTGATTTTTGTCTTTGACCTTATTGAGCATTGGAGATTTTGTCAGAATCCTCTTTTCACAGAAAATTGTGTTGCATGGATTATTGTTCTGATTCTGCACAAAACTATTCATTTCTAGAATACATCTTTAAACAAACTTTTGCAATATCGCATGCATGATTAAACACAAATGCATTTGAAGTTTGGTTTCAGTTACATTTTGCACGTATGATTGTGAAAGACAATGCTGTAATATTCGTCGAATTTGTCTCTGACTGTTGTTCTCATTTTAGATCCTGAGTTTGAAGAACTTGGAGCGCTTCCAGCCCTTCCAGGTGAGCATTCCTCATGTATGCAGATGATGCGATATACTTAAGGCTTAATGCACCAAGCAATGAAATTCACTGTTATTCAATAGAGCAACAAATATGGACAGACATTCAAAAACCACCAGTGTGTAGGAATCACATCCATGGATGGAACAGTTTTCTGCTTGATGTTTTAACATGTTTACCATGAACATACACAAAGATGGAGGATGTTGCTTACTTCTGTTCTGCAAACTGCAAAGCGAAGATAAAATATCCATTTCATAGATTCGGTCAAACTATATTTTGGTAGCCAGAATTTTCACATCGAGGATGTGAAAGTTCCGCCAATATGGTGTCCATTTTAAGTCATCACTGGGTCTGACCTGGATGATGACATCAGATCACACGGCCTCAGACATCAGACCGTAGAGGGAAAATCATCAGGTTTCCATAAAAAACCCATCAGAGTTATCACTAATGGCATCAAAGAACAAATCCTGTCCTCCAAACTCAACATGTGACTAAACAAATGGGTCCCACTTATTTTAAAATCATTTATATAATTTTGCATCACTTTCAAAATCCTTAAATAAAAAATGACCATTGCCCCTGTTATTCTCATCACTGCTGTTCTTCCCAGTCTGTGACTTTGAGCTGAGTGGTCCAGAGGGGTTTGTGGACTCCACTCAGATAGCCAAGGAGGGCCGGGCGCAGCAGACCGAAGCTGTGGACTGCAGGTGGTACATCAGGGCCCCTCCAAGAGCAAGGGTGTGTGCACTTTATGGTGTTTCTTCTTACAATCTGAAACGTCCTCATTCACACATAGACAGTAGTAAATCTATCATTTGAACACAAGCGCCTGAAAATTCCTGATGTAGTTGAGGTTTCCTCTGACCTGCTTGATCTCTCCACATTCACAGATCTATATGCGCTTTCTGGAGTATGAAATGCACAACTCAAATGAGTGCAAACGCAACTTTGTTGCCATCTATGATGGGAGCAGTTCAGTGGAGCACCTGAAGAACAAATTTTGCTCCACGGTGGCCAATGATGTGATGCTGTCTACGTCTCTGGGTGTGGTGAGGCTTTGGGCCGACGAGGGGAGCAGGAAGAGCCGTTTCAAGATTCTCTTTACAACGTTTCATGAACGTAGGTGCCACCATTTTTAAGATGAATGTGGAACATTTGCAAGAATATTCAGCTGCGTGTCCTCTCTGCTTTCCAGCACCGTGCGAAGGAGACACGTTCTTTTGCCACAGCAACATGTGCATCAACCACACTCTTGTCTGCAACGGCATCCAGAACTGTGTTTACCCCTGGGACGAGAACCGCTGCAAAGGCACGCACTGACAGGATCACATTGTGCAGCCAGGGACGAAATTTTGATTTCAGAAGTGGGGGGGACACAGCAGGCTTGTGCGAATTTGGGGTGGGGGGTGTTATGTAAAGACCCCTTGACACGTCACGTGCCCATCTCAATAATTTTTCCATCCTTATTGAAGTGCAGTTTTGGCTGTTGACAATGGATAGGCCATTGTATTTATTGTTTTGGGTCTTTTTTTATTGTTTTTGGTGCAACATTTTCTAACAGGGAGTGAGATTCCTTTTTTATTTAATTTTTGTTTGTTATTTTTATTCATTTAGAAGTTCTGGTTCTGGACATTTCAATGTTAAATGAAGGTTTCTTTGTTGCATTTTAAAGGGTGTACTTGCATTATTATGATATATTAACATTATATTAGTGGTTATTTTGGTCTAGATAATGTTGACAATATCGTTTATCATCAACAATTTGTTGGACAAAATATCGTCCAGCAAAATGTGTTACTTTCCCAGGCCTAGTCAAAAGTATAAAAATTATTTATACATAAACGGTCCCTCCTGAGATCTGGCCGTTTGTTCATTTGCTGTGTTAGAGGACATGCTGAACTAATGTTTTACACATGATCATCACCCTAACATTTGAGTTTATAAAAACATATTAAATATGTTTTTTCCCTTAAAAGTGTTTAAACAGTTGTTGCATTTCAACACACAAAAAATAAATGGAAAAAATAAGATAAATCTAATGAAAAGTGTACATCTTTGACATTAAGCTTAAAAAAATCTGTTGATGATGATGATACTGTTCATTTTTCAGAGCTTTTTAATGTGAAAATATACATTGCAATAGATAAGTTTACAATAAAGTTAAATGATAAAAGTTTTGAAGTTACACTTCTACTACTACTAGTAATAATAATTATGATGATAATAGTAATAATAAAAAAATAATTATTATAATAATACGAATAAATTGTGTCTGAGGAGTCAGTTATGTGGAGGAGATGAGTTTGTAAAAGTTAGTTTTGAGTTTGTGTGTGAAGGAGGAGGTGAGTCTGAGCTTAATGCAGGGGTGTCACATGCCCAACTTACGTTTTGACTTTGAAAGAAGTCTCTTATATCCACTTTTCGTTTTCTTGACATGCTGCCTCCTGGCTCTGCCTAACTACCAAAGACTCACAAATGAAGACTTATTCAAATGTTATGTAATGGAAGCTGAGCTGAGCTCTGATATTACACAGCGTCTAGTTGACGATGTGACTCAGTACCGGTGTTCCCTAGCGGCTCCAAACTAGCAAAACAACGTGAGCACGTTCTGACTGTTTACAACTTGAGTGACAGCAGCAACAGCCAATAATACGTTAGCAAGTATCAGCAGAGCCAATAGATTAGCTTTTGGGGTCTAATAGTAAACCGGTTTCCGTTTCGGTCCTAGTGCTCAACCAAATCCATTTAATGGAGCGTAACATTGTTTTTGGACGGAAAAAAGTGCAGGGGACCAAAACTGCCTTTTGAAAAAGTGGGGGGGGACATGTCCCACCCGTCCCCCCCCAAAATTACGTCCCAGTGTGCAGCACATGGCTGTTTTGGTTTATATCACTCTCTTTGTGTGTCTTTTACTAGAGAAAAGAAAAGCCAGCATCCTGGACACGCTGGACAACACAAACCTGACAATCATTGGAATAACCTGCGGTTTTGTTGTCATCCTGCTCATCATTTCTGTCATCATCCAGGTCAAACAGCCACGCAAAAAATATGTCATTCGCAGGTGAGATGCTTGAAATTTACTTTATTTGGGATTTAATGGTGCGAAACATTCCTAAATGTGAGAACGGTAATGTTAGTCTGTATGGAAATGTGCTTTTTACAGTTTTGCCAACAAATTTGACTGTGAAACTTATTACAGCTTAACCTTTACGTCATCTGTTCTGCACGCTTTCATGTCAACATTCAGACTTTCTGTCCCTTGTTGAATCCACAGAGATGAATTTGACTCAGCGCTCCTCCATCCGGGTTTTGAGCCTCCGCATTATGAACTCTGCGCTCTGCGCCGCGCGCCGTCTGGTGACCTGACTGACGCCGCCCTGGCAGAGGACTTTGAGAAGTTCCACAAACTCAGACGTTCTGAAAGCAAATGCATCCGTGATCACCACTGTGGCTCTCAGCAGGGAAGCATACACGGTAGCATTCAAGGTAGCCGTAGCAACCTGAGCCTGAGGGATGCCACCATCGCATCTGACACAGCTGTTCCCCCAATGTCACCAATGATGGCGAAACAGATATCGCCGCACCTTTCTCGCCATAACACACCTGCAGGTCGGCGGAGCGTCCTGGTTATGAAACACAGCTACTCGCAGGATGGAGCTGAGGGGTACAGGGCAGAAGACGACGAGGATGACTTGATGATGGACGTTGGTCCTACCACCAACCAGCACCACATGCACCACCATCAGCTCCACCCTGGTATGCCAGGGTTAGACCATGCAGTTCATCGTACATTGTCTAATGACCTTTAATTTACTTAAAGTGAGCATGGAAATTAAAAATAATCAACCCATGAAAATATACAAAAAAATTTATAAGAGGAGTTAGCAAAAGCTGATTAAAGCGGTTAGCAAAAAAGGTTAAAGCTTTTTAAAATGCTTGTTTTTGAAGTGTGTTTTGAATTTGTCAGATCTTCCACAATTGCAACTTGCAAAACAAATCTTTCTTCATAGTTTCATTACTTCCTCCATGGCAACCGTGTTATAATCATTTTAATTACTACATAGCTTTGGCAGTGCATCTGACAGAAAGTGAACAAGAATGTAATATCATGGAAACCACCAATTCTAATAGATTGAAAGACCATTTCCCCCAGTTTTTGTTCCTTGAACTTTAACTATATCAGTAACATCTGCCTAATGTACCAGTGCATCATGTTTATAAACAGATATCACCTGTGTTTTCTTTAATCATACCATTTTTTCCCCAAATTTTATTTATATGACTCAATAAATTCCCTTAACTTTGATTGTTAACAAGGCATTATTGTCATTATTATTCTGTATTGATTTACAAAACGAATTCACAAACCAGTGTTATAGACTAAAGCAAATAAAGAAAGCAATTGTTTTTACTTGATGACATTGAAAATAAAAAGAAAACAAATATCCCTGTCAGTGCCCTTTCTTAAACATTTAACATGCTTAAAGATCAAGGTATCCCGAATAACTAAAAAATATATAAACTGATGTAGCACTGCAAGTAAAAGTACTTCAATGGTCTGATGATAAGAATGCATAAGAATGCATTGTATTTCAAACAAGTTCATGTATTCTGAACTGTTTCGCATTTTCTAACCATCCACTGCAGTAACTCCTTCAGACCAAAAGGTGGCGTAAAACACAACATAGAAGGCTTTCGTGTAGGCGGCAGAAGAAGAAGACGAAGAAGAAGAAGAAGAAGAAGAAGAAGAAGAAGAAGAAGAAGAAGAATTGTTAGGCAACATAAATTAAGTCGTTTCATTTTTTTATTATGTTATTTTCAAACATTGTTTAGCTCCTGGCGTGTTAGCTTTAGCGGCGCCCTTCGTGGACTACAGCTGAAGCTACCTTGACGTTAGCATCATGTCTGCAGGGGAGCTGATGTTGAACTCGGGACAAGGTGCCGGAAGTGTCAACCCGGAGAAACCGAGCAGAAGCCGCCTTGGTTTAATTGTAACAGGGGTTGTTGGTGGCTCGCTAGTCGCTCTCTACGCAGTAGCGACTCCGTTTGTCGCTCCCGCTTTGAGAAAGGTCTGCCTCCCCTTTGTACCAGCGACCACAGCCCAGGTGGAGAATGTCCTCAAGGTGCTTCGGGCCAGGTCAGGGACCCTGGTGGATATTGGAAGCGGAGATGGTCGGATAGTAAGTGCCGTGGTTCCGTTTGGATCTCTAATACACTGGGTTGTGTGACCTAATCTCGTGTAGAAACTGTAAATGATATTTTCAGTGCTCTGTTTTTGCTTTCCCAACATCCATCACTAGCTCTCTGTTTAAAGATGAAGCTAAAGTAACTCGTGCAGCTACTGCACATCATTTGCACTGTGTGATTTCTCCCTTTTCCTTGTAGGTGATCGCAGCAGCCAAGCGTGGATTTCAGGCATCGGGATTTGAACTGAACCCCTGGCTGGTGTGGTATTCCCGCTACAATGCCTGGAGAGAAGGCGTCCACCGCTCCACCTCCTTTCATATCTCTGACCTGTGGAAGGTCAGTGCCTCTTGAAAATCTACAAGTCACTCCTCATTTAAGGTCACTGATTGCCCCCCCCCCCCCCCCCCCCCCCCCCATTCTGTTCACAGGCTAACTTTGCTCAGTATTCCAATGTTGTAATTTTTGGAGTCCCTCAAATGGTGAGCTGGAGTAACATTTCACACTTCTGATTAACGATTAATTCACAAAAACGATTAACTAAGCTGCTTGACTTTAATGACCCTCCCCTAAGTTTTAATGATCCGATACTTGCTTCTGCACCCACAGATGGATCAGCTCGAGCTCAAGCTGGCAAATGAGCTTTCAGACACAGCCAAGGTGGTGGCCTGCAGATTTCCTTTTCCTACATGGATCCCTGAACGCACTGAAGGGGAAGGAATAGACACTGTGTGGGTTTACGATACCAGCATGTTCAAATCAAACCTGCACCACGGATCAACGGAAACACATAAACAGAAAACACAAATTAATAAAACCAGCTCCTCCTAAGTTGTCTGCAAATGCTGCGTTTTCTCCCCAAGATTTACATCTCATGTTCAGTTGTAAAGCACTTGGACTTCTGTTGTGGTTATGAGAATGGAAAAAAGCAAGTGGACTGAGAGAATACAACACTTTCTTTAGACATGACTCTTCCCATGCCAGACCAAGGTTAAACATAACCTTAAAGAAAAAAAATCTAATAATAGGTAAAATGATTGTGTTTGATAAATTAAGTTGTAGCCATTCAAATTGTGCTGAAAGAGGCTTTTTGGTCGAAATTAACATTGACAGAAACCGTTTTCTGTAAAAAAAAAAAAAAAAAAAAAGATAAGTTAGAATCTTTCAGTCACATATCTAAGGCTTTCATTTAATCTAATCAACACAAGAAAGCGCTTGTTGTGCTTTTTGCGCCATCTCGTGGAGATAATGCCGTACAGTTGTTTTGGCTCAGCGCTTGTATGACCGTTAGATGATTAACCATGGCGTAAAAGAAGGTGTATTTAGTTTCACAGCATAGTTGAACGTATTGGCTTCAACTAAATCTTATTTTGAAATGTTTACGTGTAGATAGTAAACAGATATCCCTTTTGACAACTGTCGGTCCAGCGACTGGTGGTGTGGAGCAGGGCTCCTTAACCAGGCAAGATGGATGCCACAGAAGAAGGTAGCTAATCATGTTAAAACCTAAATTACACTACTGTCTGCGTTAACCGTTTAAACCTTCAATGTTAGTTTTGCATTCATCATAGTATGTGTCCTTAAATCAGCAGGAAATGAAAAGTGCCTTTCGGAGCTGCAATGAGAAACAAAACCCATAATGTTAGCTAGGTAGCTAACTGGTATTAGCTTATTTGCCATAATGAGCTGTAAAGTCGGAAAGTGCAGTTTATGATAGGAACCACGTGATAATCGTTATGGAAATGTTCGTAATTATTGGGGAATGCGTGTTTTGTAATATTAAAAAATAAAGTTAACGTAAAGTTTACTGTGTTTGGCAAACGCCACCGTTATCGGACCATAACACAGGAGTAATAACGAGACCGCTACTTGTTGACACAACCCTGCAGTGCTAGCTAACGCTAACAGGCCACTTTATGTAATTGTTTCGAACACATTAGCCGTGACATTAACATGATTAATATTGCAGTTCATCGTTAATAATTTTTAGTAAATCTTCCGCCAAGTCGTTTTTAGCCCGAGTCATGCTCTTGCTTTGGTATAATTCAGTAATAAACTGAGTGGCTGATTAGCTCGGGGCATGCTATCCGGTATGGCAAGCTGATTTATCATTTATCATTGTCATTTATCATCAACCATTTTCTCACTGTCAAAATTAACAGTTTAAACATCCAGCTATTTCTGTCGTATGCACAATCAATATTTTCGTTATCTACAATATAAATATTGTTAATGCACATGTAGTTTCTCATACATATCTAAATTAATAAAGCATTAAAAAGATCACTCCTAATTCACTTATGCAGATGTCATATTCCACCTTAATGCATATGTCTTCACTAGACAAAACCTTGTTTGAGAAAAGTGCAAGTTACTACTTGAGAATATGGACTGACATTATGAAGAAGTTACAACATGATTTTATTTTCTCCACTGTAATAGTTACAGACTTCACCATTTAACTATTAAGTTGAACATTTTTCCCATGTTTTTAAATGTAGCTTAGATTTTAGAATTTAAATACTTCTATGTATTAACTTCTTGTCTTGAATATAAAAGCTGGTGAACCGAAACAGAGTTAGAGCTTTGTCTAGTTAAAATGCTTTCTTGATAAAATATGAGAAACATTTTGAATAGTAAGTATTTCTATAATACAACTGGTTAAAAGTAACTTCAGACGTCAATGGTTGTCATCACTAGGAACATTGTTATTACAAATGCAAGAAAACAGTGCGTCCCGTCCTGCAGCTCAGGCTAATTATAGTCATTTTATTTTGGCTATTGAGGTACACCGGTAATCCAAGGATTATAGTTTGGAGTGACTACATTGTCCTTTTAGCGTGGGAATATTATCAGAAATGTGTGTTAAATTTCTGCAGGGGAAGATAATGTTGGACACAAAAGTTCTCTTGATTATATTTATTGTTAGTTGCGATCGAGAAGGAAATGCTGCCAGAATAAACTAAATTAAATGGTTAGAGTCTTGTCAGTTTGTGTGCTTTTGAATCCCTGTTGAACTGCAGACATCTGTCGAGTATGTCGCTCTGAGGGGACGCAGGAAAAGCCGCTCTATCATCCCTGTGTTTGCACTGGCAGCATCAAGTTTATCCATCAGGAATGGTATGGCAACATCAAGTCATTAAAGAGAATCTGTTCTGGTTTGCTCTTATTGCCATGAGTCTGTTGTCTAAATATGCATTAATAAGTAATTACCATGGTAAATACACACAGGGCAGGAAAATGAAAGGGTTGGAATAATCATGTAATTTTATTGTGGACCCACTCAGAATGTTTCCTTTTGTTTCCTCAGCTTGCTGCAGTGGCTACAACACAGCAGGAAAGAATACTGTGAATTATGCAAACACAGGTTTGCATTTACACCAAGTAAGTTAAGAATAAGTTCAGGAAATGAACACATTTAAGTAATTTTTAACCCTTTGAAATGACCAGTTGTATCTGTTGGTTGTCTCCAGTCTACTCCCCAGACATGCCGTCCCGTCTGCCTGTCCAAGACATCTTTGCAGGCCTGCTCACCAGTATAGTAACAGCCATCAGATACTGGTTCCATTACACAATGGTGGCCGTTGCATGGCTTAGCGTTGTGCCTCTCACAGCGTGTAAGTCACACTTTTGTTTCCAGTTGCTGATGACTTGTTTATCTGTGAATTTATTAACTTTTAAATTAGAAAAGCAGACATCAGAAGCATCTGTAGCAGTGATTTAATGAAGTGCTGTAGGAGATTATACACATTTTCTAACCCAGTTCAATCATTTCTGTGAGATTAAAGCGGCTAAAACCAAAGTATTTTGACTTAAAATGACATTTTAATTTTGAGGTTTAAATAACTGCTTTAGGGCTGCACAGTGGTGCAGTGGTTAGTGCTGTTGCCTTGCAGCAAGGAGGTTCTGGGGTCTTTCTGCATGGAGTTTGCATGTTCTCCCTGTGCATGCGTGGGTTCTCTCCGGGTACTCCAGCTTCCTCCCACAGTCCAAAAACACGACTGTCAGGTTGATTGGTCTGCCTTAATTATCCTTAGGTGTGAGTGTGTGTGTGTGTGCATGGTTGTTTGTCCTGTGTGTCTCTGTGTTGCTCTGGGATGGACTGGCTCTCTGTCCAGGGTGTACCCCGCCTGTTTGCCCGTTGACTGCTGGAGATAGGCACCAGCCCCCTCGCAACCCTGCATTCAGAAAATGCATGGATGGATGAAATGACTGCTTTAACTGATGTGATCCTTGTGTTTACATTGGTTTAGGCACTCATTGCTACTTACAGACATGTACATTCAACCAGAGTAATGTTTGGATATGAAGCACGTGGAAACATCCAAGAGCAGTCTATAACCCAATCTGGTGTTTTAAGAGTAGTTTTTGTTTTTGAACTGAACTAGTCTTAATTGAAGTACTTGCTCAGTATGTTTTTTATGTGTATTTGGTAATGAATTTACTAAATGGTTTATTTCTGAGTTACGTACAATAAAACAGCAAGAATTGGACCTAGGTTAGCAGGTTTGGTGTTATTGACATCTCTATCCTTTGGTTGTGTTTTTCTAACAGGTCGCATCTACAAATGTTTATTTACTGGCTCTGTGAGCTCTCTTCTTACCCTGCCATTAGATATGCTTTCAGCGTAAGTCCACCTGATGTTTTTGTCTCTGTGAGATTGAGCATCACCCTTCTGTTATTGACACCTTAAATCTTAAACTTTAGTTTTTAGTGTATTTCTAAGCTGCATGGTGTTAGTACTCTGAAGAAATCTTCAGAATCAGAAAAAGCTTTATTGCCAGCGCTCCAGCGACCCAGAGCATAGGAACTTGACTCCGCAGCACAGCCTGACCAAGGTTACACACACACATGTAGACAGAACAGATACAGGCAGACCACGAGAGCAGCCATAACGGCGCTCATTTCAATTAGATGAAAAGGGATTACATGAGGATAAATTGGGGGAGGAAAAAAGGCATACCAGAGTTACTCCCGGCAGGGCGTAGCTTTACTATGCAAAAAAATGCCTCAAACATATAAGCACGAACATCAACAGTTCACAATATGAGAGATCGAGGGGGGGGGGGGCTGGGATCCTGTTTCCCCAGCGAGAGCAGCCCTGTATGGCGCTCATCCACTGTAGCCACAGGTGGGAGGGAGATCTTGGGAGGAGCGCAGAGCACATTGACACCTGCAGGTTGATGACCTCGCCAGGCTGAAGTCCACCAATACGAAGGCGGGGGGGTAGGTCCGGTTTTCACAGCATCTGTCTGCATTCCTTCGTGGGGGTTTGTTGTTGGCATTCACAAGGCCGCCATGGCGTCAGATTCGGATAACAAGACTTTGTTTGGGTCAGGCTGAGATAATTTTCCTCTCTGCCTTCAAGTCTGTAACCGATCATTCAAGTCCTTCAGTGAAGCCAATTCAGGTTTTAAACATCTCCACACCGTCCGGTGACCCTCTCCGAGATGACATCCCTTTTGCGCACTAATACCGGTATCACAGCTAGAACATTGTCCAGCTCACGATTCACCTCGAGTAACGTCCCATTCTGTAAGGTCCCCACACGATCGGTGCTTTCCGTGGGTGCGGATCACCCTCCAATCGCTCCCATCCTCCCAAATTTCCAGAAAACCAGATATCCTCCCACTCCAATCAGAAGAAATCCAGTGATCATCAGGCCAAACATCCACACATCTTCGACGTCCTCAATGGACAACTGGGAGAGGCATACGATCCTCCATTCTTTCCAGGAATCGAGCATATACCCCGCCGGGTGTGTCCATTGCGGGCAAGTGGGAGCCCCCTGCTCCGTTCTCATCGTTGAAAAAATCTGATCAATCGCGTTGAATGACCAATTAATTAAATCCATTTATAAAAAATAGGGTTTTTCAGGAGAAGTGCAGAGAGGCGCTCTGTGGGCAGACAGGACAAAGAGCCTTGGGAAAAAAAGATAAGGGAGCAAAAAGGGAAGCGTCTGTACTCTGCGAGTGCCAGAAGATTGACATAAATGCACACGGTCTGATTTGTGACTACAGATTTCTGTATTGCTTAAAGAGATCAGGAAAGAAAATATGTCCAACTTGAAAATGCTTCTGTTGCAGACAGAACATTCTTGCCGACTGCCTGCAGGGTTGTTTCGTGGTCACGTGCACCCTGTGTGCCTTCATCAGTCTGGTGTGGCTCAGGGAGCAGATTGTTCACGGTGGAGCCCCTCAGTGGTTAGAGCAGAACCCACCCCCTCTGGTTCCCAACCAGCCCGACGGCCCTGCACCAGCTAATGAAGTGAGCTCACTAAAGGATTCCTGTGTTGTCTTTTTGCACGTGCTTCCCCTCACCTACACACAGATCTGCACCTGCCTAATGCTGTGTAGAGCCTCTGGAGCAGCCCGGCCGGTCTGAGACTATTGCTCTGAAAAAGTCTGCAAGCATTTGTCTGAATACTCAGGTTTCATGTTGTTGAATAGTGTTCTTTTATAGAGCTGCAGCCTTGTGAACAGTCTAAGGTTTTTAGCTTCCTGGTTGGTGTTTTGCGCAAATGAAGTTTAAATAAAATACAATTTTCCTTTGCTTAGAATGACTTATTAATCTGGACATTTTGTGTGTTGCATCACTTGCATCTGCCTTTTTTAGTGGGAAACTGGGTACTTGCTGTCATTACAGAAATGTAAAACACAGCTAAGCTCATATTTATACTTATGACATGTTTTCAGTTAAGTCACTCTGTTTATTGCCAGATTCTTAACTGAGAGTGGTTAATTAGCAAATCTAAGACCAAGCAGTTTTTCATTCAACTGCATGACAGATTTTGTGTGTTGATGAACCAGAAGCTCATGATTTTTTTTTTTAATTGGTCGCTGTCTCTGCAGGATCCAGGTGCTAACGCTGCAGCTAACGCTCAGGCTGCTGCAGCTGCTCAGCACCCTGCGGAGCACGGTCCCAACGAGCCAGCACCTGGAAACCAGCATGAAGCCGCCAACCGCAGAGCGGAAGCTGAAATAGACGATGATGGGGGAGAGGATGATGACGACGATTATGATGATGATGATGATGATGATTATGATGGGGAAGAAGATGAAGGAGAGGAGGAAGAAGGCAGGGAAGAAGAAGCTGCTGATGCCAATAATGGAGGGCAAGGTCAGTGAGCATGAACTCATGCCAGTCTGTTTATTTTTGCTGTCGGTTTAAAACAAAGGTGGTTAATGATTAGTTGTGCAAGGATGCACACTTGTATCATCGGTTGTGTAACAGTAATGTAACATTTTATTAACTTTGCTGCTTCAAACACATTTTTTGTTCTAGACGATCTGAACTGGAATGCTCTGGAGTGGGATCGAGCAGCAGAGGAGCTGACCTGGGAGCGGGTGGGAATCGTTATTTTATATTTCTAGAGCTTCATAAATATGTATTTTTTTATTTTTGACCCAAAAAAAAACAAGAAAGAAACAAAACCAACAACCTCTTGGTCTACTGTCATCATGTTCTTTGTTCTGTTTGTTGATTTTTTGGCCTTTCTAAAGTACTTGAGATGTTATTTGGCACGTTGTGGTCTGTGTGTCTCTCAGATGCTGGGGCTGGATGGCTCCCTGGTTTTCCTGGTGAGTGTAAACTCTCTGTTACACACATAAATGAGTGGAATAGCAATGAGCCCCTTTTCCTTGTTTCTCTCTTTAGGAGCATGTCTTCTGGGTGGTGTCTCTAAACACACTCTTCATCCTGGTCTTTGGTCAGTCCCACCTGCTTGCATCATTTCATTTCTGTTGCACAAGCTTGACGCTCTCAGTTTGTTTTATTATCAAGCTTTCATATTAGCTTCAGTGGGAGTTTCACCACACATCAGTGATAAAAAGTCGCATTTGCCTTTTCTGCTCTAAAAGCTTTTTTCTAACGTCTACACTGCTTTTCAGCTTTCTGCCCGTACCACATTGGACATTTCTCTGTGGTTGGGCTGGGCATCGAAGACTTTGTAAGTTCACTAAAATGCAGGAAGAGACTATTAAATTGTTTATTCAGCAATGGCAAAATATAATAATAAATGTTGCTTTGTCTTCTGCAGGTCAAGGCGTCACATTTTGATGGGCTCGTCACTACAGTACTGGGATACATCCTCCTGGCTGGAGCACTGGTTGTCTGCCATGTATCCTCTACAGAAATTACTTTAACGTCACCTTCCTTTAAAACATCTGCTGAGTCAGTTGGTTGTGTTAGATGATTATGTGGTACACTGGAATATAAGGCTAGGTTTCAAAAGTTTTGTAGGCAGATCATTGACGTTTATGCTGAGTCCATATTTGTTGTGTTGTTTTTTTTTCAGGACCTCTGTAATTCCTCCTGGCATGCTGTTAGTTAACGTCTGGTCTAAACATAGACTGATGACAGCTCATTTCTGATTAACCAGTGTTTTTGTTTGGCCACCTGCTGTTTGGGTTTTGATCCCCTAGCCTGTGGAGGTTTTGGTCATACACCCAGAATTATGGCGTTTGGTTCCCTGAACCAATCAGTTATCACTTTAGGCTCCAGCATGTTCTTCAGTGGTTGGGAAAGTTCCCCTTAGAGCAGGGACAGTATCCAGCTCCACTTAGAGGATGCCTGCAGCAACACGCCTGATTTTAATCAGCAGGTGATTAACAGGTTTCTGCAGAACCCGACCAGCTGCTGAACTGTTGGATCAAGGACGTTGGAGTAGGGGAAACAACTAAAACATGCTGGATACCGGCCCTCTGTGAAGGGAGTAGCCAACCCCTGTCTTAGAGGATATTTTAGGTCCACACATGAATGGTCTCAACATGCTGGCAGGACACAGGACCGCTGGGACTGCTCACCTTTTCTTTGCCAGACAAACTTTTTTCCAACTGCCCAAAATAATCAGGAATAGGACTCGGAGAGAATCCCTGACCCTTTAGCAGAATATCAGCTTCCATTGTTTGGTTCTTTTCTAAACACAGAGTATTGGTTTGTTTTTACCTTTTTTAGCTGACAAGTTTCAGGTAACACTGTAGCCATCCTCAGAGTACCGTCGATGTTGATGGTGTCACTTCCTTCTCCATTTATCTGTGTTTAGAAAAGAACCAAACAATGGAATTTGATGGACTGCACAGAACGAACATGCAAAAGATGTTCTAAGACAATATCAGCCCATCCCTGATGTTTTTCATGGAGAGATGTTGCTTCTTGACTCCAGGTCATCCTCCAGAAGTCTTCTCTGTCCTGCAGAGGCACTCAAACCTGCCAGTTGCCATCTCTGCACATGCACTGTAGCGGTGATGCCCCAGAGTGAGCTGGGTCTTCTTTGGTATGAAGAGACCTCGTTGTTTTGCTTTTGTTTTCAACCAAAGTTCACATCACATTTCCTTTAACCATTCCTCTTGTAGACATTCGCTTCTCTAGTGAAGTTCCAGCGATCCAGGCGCCTTCTGGGTGTCTGCTACATTGTTGTCAAGGTAACGCAGCAATCTGAGCCTTCTAGCATACTCCATCCATCCATTTTTACCTGCTTATCCTGAGTCGGGTCGCGGGGGCAGTAGCCTAAGGCGAGAGGCCCAGACTTCCTTCTCCCCAGCCACTTGGGCCAGCTCCTCCGGGGGAATCCCAAGGCGTTCCCTGGCCAGGTGAGAGACATAGTCCCTCCACCGTGTCCTGGGTCTACCTTTAGGTCTCCTCCCGGTTGGACATGCCCGGAAACCTCACCAAGGAGGCGTCCAGGAGGCATCCTGACCTGATGCCCGAGCCACCTCAACTGGCTCCTCTCAATGTGGAGGAGCAGCAGCCGAGCCCCTCCCGAATGACCGGGCTTCTCACCCTATCTCTAAGGGAGAGCCCAGCCACTCTTCGGAGAAAACTCATTTCGGCCGCTTGTATCCACGATCTCGTACTTTCGGTCACTACCCAAAGCTCATGACCATAGGTGAGGGTAGGAACGTAGATCGACCGGTAAATCGAGAGCTTCGCCTTCTGACTCAGCTCTCTCTTCACCACGACAGACCGGTACAGCGCCCGCATCACTGCAGATGCAGCACCAATCCGCCTATCGATCTCACGCTCCAGTTTTCCCTCACTCGTGAACAAGACCCCGAGATACTGAAACTCCTCCACTTGGAGCAGGACCTCATCCCTGATCCGGAGAAGGCATTCTACCCTTTTCCGAATCAAGACCATGGTCTCAGATTTAGAGGAGCTGATTCTCACCCCAGCTGCTTCACACTCGGCTGCAAACCGCTCCAGCGAAAGCTCAAGATCACATTCTGATGAAGCCAACAGGACCACATCATCTGCAAAAAGCAGAGACCTGATCCTCAGGCCACCAAAATGGATGCCCTCCACACCTTGGCTGCGCCTAGAAATCCTGTCCATAAATGTTATGAACAGAATTGGTTACAAAGGGCAGCCTTGGCGGAGTCCAACTCTCACTGGGAACAAGCCTGACTTACTGCCGGCAATGCGGACCAATCTCTGACACCGGTCATACAGGGATCTAACAGCCCCTATCAGAGGGCCTGGTACCCCATACTCCCGGAGTACCCCCCACAGGGCCCTCCGAGGGACGCGGTCAAACACCTTCTCCAAATCCACAAAACACATGTAGACTGGTTGGGCACATTCCCACGCACCCTCCAGGATCCCCCTAAGGGTATAGAGCTGGTCCAGTGTTCCACGGCCAGGACGAAAACCACATTGCTCCTCCTGAATCTGAGGTTCAACAATCCGACGGACCCTCCTCTCCAGAACCCCTGAATAGACCTTACCAGGAAGGCTCAGGAGTGTGATCCCCCTGTAGTTGGAACACACCCTGCGGTCCCCCTTTTTAAATAAGGGAACCACCACCCCGGTCTGCCAGTCCAGTGGGACTGCCCCCGATGTCCACGCGATATTGCAGAGCTGCGTCAGCCAACACAGCCCCACAACATCCAGAGCCTTAAGGAACTCCGGGCGGGTCTTACCCACCCCTGGAGCCTTGCCACAGAGGAGCTCAGCACCAGAGATTTGAGAGGCCAACCCAAAGTCCCCAGATTCTGCTTCCTTACTGGAAGACGTGTCGGTGGGATTGAGGAGGTCTTCGAAGTATTCTGCCCACCGATCCACAACATCCTGAGTAGAGGTCAGCAGCACACCGTCCCCACTATAGATAGTGTTGGTAGCGCACTGCTTTCCCCCCCTGAGGTGCTGGATGGTGGACCAGAATCTCCTCAAAGCCGTACGGAAGTCTTGCTCCATGGTCTCACCAAACTCCTCCCATGCCTGGGGTTTTGCCTTGGCGACTACCCAAACCGCGTTCCACTTGGGCTGCCGGTACCCGTCAGCTGCCTCTGGAGTCCCACAGGCCAAAAAGACCTGATAGGACTCTTTCTTCAGCTTGACAGCATCCCTAACTGCCGGTGTCCACCAGCGGGTTTGGGGGTTGCCACCACGACAGGCACCGACGATCCTGCGACCACCTAGCACACACTCTTCATATTTTACAACAAGCAAAGCTTTCAGGGTCAAAAGCATGTGAAAAAATTTGCTCATTGTTAAAACAGAGAAACTGGGTTTGCCTCTCCTTACGTAGGTGTCCCTGCTGGTTGTCATGGAGATTGGTCTGTTCCCACTCATATGTGGATGGTGGCTGGACATTTGTTCACTGGTAAGACAAACAAGCAGAATGAACACTTTTATTCCCGATGAAAACAGATATGCTAAAGGCAATCGTGGTAAAAAATAAATGTTGCCCTCAAAGTGTCATGTGATCACCTTTAGAAGTTTTGTTAAAATGTGTCTTGTTGTTTATTTCAGGAAATGTTTGATGCAACTCTTAAGGACAGGGAGCAGAGCTTTGACTCTGCTCCAAGCACTACGATGTTCCTCCACTGGCTGGTCGGCATGGTGTACGTCTTTTACTTTGCTTCCTTCATCCTTCTGCTCCGAGAGGTAAATCAAGCCACAAATAAACATTTAAAAGCCTTCAAAGCACGTGTGAGCTTTTTAACCATCACATTTGTTTGTTGGAAGGTTCTTCGGCCGGGTGTCCTGTGGTTTTTGAGGAATCTGAATGATCCAGACTTCAACCCAATCCAAGAGATGATCCACCTGCCCATCTACAGACACCTCAGGAGGTTTATTCTCTCAGTGGTGAGTCCATAGTTATTTATTAGGCAAATGAAACATTTTTGCATCCCATTTAGCAATAAACTTAATCAAGATGAAGATTGTACTTCAAGTCAAGTACATTATATTTTTTTCTACAGATCATTTTTCAGTCTACAGACTCAAATATATTCACTTGTGATTCACTAAGGGTAATGTGAAGTTATGTTCGGTGACAGAACAAAAGAATTGGATTTGGCTGCTAAAACATTCAGCTTGTTTTTTCTAAATATATCTAACCAGATTTTATTAGGAGTGCAATGAATATGGGGTCAGATGGGTGCCAAAACCCATGCACCTGTATTCCCAGTCTAGGAGCGTATTTCGCTTGCACAGGTCCAACGTTGCGCGCGCGTAGAAGTTAGAACTGCTCGAGTGAAAATATACATCGCGAGAGGTCATTTGTACACTGAGAGGGAGCAAACTGTGTCTGTGAGTGAACAAGGGTGTGCACAAGTGACAAACCTGCATGCGCGCGTAGGCCAACGAGCACACGGCAGAGGAAAACATACGCACGGCAGCCTTTCTGCGTGCTCGGTTTCTGATTCTGCTCGCTTGGCTGTTAACCTGAGCATGCCTGAGAGAGGTGGGAAATGTACCAGATGTCAGTGAAGCGTTGATCACATGCGTGACTGCTGCGGCTACTGTAGGAGCAACAGCTTGGAGCAGCTTAGTCGGAATAGGGTCCAGTGGGCATGTAGTAGGGCGGCTGCACGTGAGCATCTTGGACACACAGTTCTCAGTGACAGGAATTAATTGATGAGTTACATAATTGTCCATTTAGAATTCTTGAATGGACTGAGTCAATTTTGGTGCACTTTCTTTATTTCAAAACATGTTTTTTATTTTATTTTAATGATACATATAAATAATTTAAATGTAAATTCATTTAAATATTGCACCTTTTGGCATACATATTTTGTTGTCTTGTTAATTATGAACATCCACATCAACACGTATTCCATTTCTTTAGGTTTGCATCATATGACATCCTGATTCACTTTTTGTGCATGCTTCTGAGCTCTCTACCATCCATGGTCAGTGTTTGACAGGCACATAGAGACCCTATTACGGGCCATATGCTGCAACCTATCAACAAGTTTTTTCTATTTTTTAATAACCTCACCCTTGTTTCCAAAAAATGGGACCTTGCTGAATAATAACACATGGAGCAACTATTTGTTCACAGTACTTGGCTCAGTGAGGATCTGTATACCAAAGGAGGAGATACTCAGAAATCTGTCTGCAGATTTTTACAACCCAGTCTAGGAGTGGTGGGCTGTAACAAGAAGGGAGACCAAACAGAGGAGTGGGGGGTTTAACAACTGATTTATTTAACCAAAGTAAGGATTCACTAAAGCAAGTTAGTGAACAGAAAATGGCCAGTGAGCACTCTCCACCACAGGAGAGACCCAGTGAAAGCAGAAAAACAGCAGGCTTTCTAGGCAGCACCACACCCTGAGCCCAGGTGCCTCCAAGGCCGCTTAACGAGCTGCCTGCAACTGACGAAAAAACTCAAATGAAAACCCAATGAGACGGTGGGGTCACAACACGTTCAGGACTACCCAGACACCAGTAATTCTTCACTGCACTGAGCTGAGGTGTCAATGGCCGTCTTCCCCTCTCTTCCAGAGTCATATGTTTTCCTCAAGTTCAGCTGCACTCTGAAGAGGCTCATTTGGATTGTGCCACATGGGCCAGTGACATTTGTCTCAGCACTGTGTGCTGGAACTATCAGCAACCAACAGGTTACCTGGGACTCTGGTGTCTTGAACATGCTACAACTAGAGATGGTTGTCATGGAAGACAGGGGTTTCTTTATTGATGACATTGTGCCCTGCAAAGTGTACAGGCCAGCTTTCCTTTCTGGCAAACCTCAAATGTCTGCATGTGAGGTTAGAGAAACAGAAGCCATAACATGTCTGAGAGTGCACGTGGAGCGCTCCATTGGTCTGATCCAAGAGCACACGCTTTTTGATTGTTATTCCCCTCTTTGCATTTGTAAACAATCAGCTATATGCTGTGGTTTGTCTCCTTACCAACTTTAAAAATAGACCACTAGTGAAGGCCTGGGCAAAGAAGCCTGATGTCTGAGAACCTCAACTCATGTACGGCAACCATACTGTAATTTACACACCTTCATAAAGAAACTGCATATCAAGCTTTCGTACAGATGACCTCCAACAGTGCTGCGCCCTGCTGAGGGACACCCGAGTAAAAGCTTGAGATGCATAACCTTTACCAAACCTTTGTAGTAAAGTTATTCATTTGTTGATTTTTAAAATAAAGGTAAAATTTTAAACCATTCTCTGTGAATCTTAACTTTATTGTGAAATGTAAAGTGTGTGTATATATAATTTTGAAGAAGTTTGTTAATTTAAAAAATGAATTTGAAATTGTTTATATTTTGAGGTTAAATGGATTTTGGTGTTAAAAAAATAAGTTATCCATTTTAGTTTAGTATTGTTATTCATGTCTCTTATAGAAACTAAACAAGCCATTTAAAAACACCGAAGTGCTTTCCAGAGTTATTTGTTAGTCATCTAACAATGACAAACAACAAACAAAGCTGGAATATCTCATTTCCTCCACAGTTCCTTAACATTTACATTTACACTGGCCAAGAAGGCATTGAGGAAGAAATAACAAAAGCTGACCAATCAGAGGACAGAGAAGATCAGCCACAGGCCACGCCTCCAGAGTGCCAAAACCCTAAACAGCCGAGCGAGCAGAATCCAAAACCGTATTTCGTATTTCGCGTGCACGGGTTTTGGCACCCATCTGACCCCATAAACGAATCATCTCTGAGCATCAGCACAGAGGTGGTCCTGCCGGAGGACGACAGGAGCTTAAAAACCACCTGCATCGTTAAAGTTTGCCTTCCCTGTAATACAATGATGATACAAAAATATGAACGTCCACACGCATGCCTCCAGTTTGACCACTAGATTTTAGTCATAGCTCATAAAATTGTAAGTAAATGAAGTAAGTTTCTTTTCATTTCACTGAAAGATTTTTACTTTTATTTACTTTAATTTTGACATTTTAATACTTAAACAAGTTTTTGGTATTTTCAGGATATTTGAGGAGGTTCTAGCTAGTAATGCTAGCATGTTAGCATGTGGTAACTTTACAGAGGCAGACTGGAAAAATTGTGGCAAAGTATCTTGGGCATCATTGTGTGTGTGCGTGTGTGTGTGTGTGTGTGTGTGTGTGTGTGTGTGTGCGTGTGCGTGTGTGTGTGTGTGTGTTTACGTTCCCAGGTCGTGTTTGGATCAATAGTTCTGCTGATGCTTTGGCTCCCAATCAGGATTATCAAACTGCTGTTCACAAGCTTCCTTCCCTACAATGTCATGCTGTACAGGTAAATCACTAAATTCCTGTTAAATCTGGTTCCTGAACGTATCACTGATGCTTCTGATTCATAGCTAAAATGAAAAGGCACTTGAGGAAAGCTGAAGTGAGTCATGTCTGTTCTGTCCCAGCGACGCTCCGGTCAGCGAGCTGTCGCTGGAGCTCCTGTTGCTTCAGGTTGTCCTGCCGGCGTTGTTGGAGCAGGGACACACCCGCCAGTGGCTCAAACGTCTCGTCCACGCCTGGACGTTCGCTGCTGGATATGTGTTGTAGGTCCAACATGCGCGCGCACACAAACACACACGTGAAGGATACTAAAATGCAGCTATGGTTCTTCTACTTCTCTTGCCCTGTGGGTTGGGGTTATTATGTTAATGTCATGAAAACAGTAAAATAAAGTAAGTTCTCCTCTTCAGTGACCTTCACTCTTACCTTCTGGGAGAACATGACGATAATGAAAACCAACCAAACATCCCTCCGGGTCACCTTAACAACAACCGAGTACCTGGGCCGGGGGAGGGGCTTCATGCGGCCCACCAGGCCATTCTGCAGCAGGGAGGACCAGTGGGCTTCCAGCCGTACCACCGGCCCCCTAACTTCCCCCTCAAGGTGATTCAAACCAGATCTGAGTGGATGCAGCTGCTTACATTAAATGCTGATGTTGAGCGTTACTAAGAGTGAGTTCTTGTTTAGATCACGCTGCTGGTGGTCTTTATGTGTGTGACTTTACTGCTAGCCAGTCTGATCTGTCTCACACTGCCAGGTAAGCCATGAGCCAACACTCTTTGTGCTTTGACCCTTCTGTGGTCCCATTTGGTCATACTTGCCTCTGTGCTTTCTGCTCCTTGTTAGTGTGCGTGGGTCGCTGGCTGATGGCTCTCTGGATGGGCAACACAATGGTTCATGAGCTGTACACAGCAGCCAGTGGCCTGTACGTCTGCTGGCTGTGCATCCGCGCCGCCACGGTGCTGCTGTCCTGGATGCCACAGGGAAGGACGGTCATCATGATCAAAGTCCACGAGTGGACGCTCATGGTAATAAGCATGGATCTGTTTTGTCAGAGGAGACACGACCTTCTGTTTCTTTCTCTGTATTGTTTTATTGTGATGATTTTCTGCTCACAGATCATCAAGACTGTTGTTGTGGCCGTGATGTTAGCCGGAGTGATTCCTCTGCTGTTAGGTCTGCTGTTTGAACTGGTCATCGTTGCTCCTCTCAGAGTCCCACTGGACCACACTCCTCTCTTCTACCCCTGGCAGGTATGAGTACACAAGGATATGTCAGATACACCATGTGACCAAATAATGAAACCAAAGATGTTGTCTGGATGTAAAAATCTGTTAAATTAAATGTTAAAGTCCCATTAGTTGTCAGTCACACTGATGTGTGTGCGAAATTTGTTCTCCGCATTTGACCCATCCCCTGGGGGAGCGGTGAGCTGCAGACACAGCTGCGCTCGGGAACCATTTGGTGGTTTAACCCGTGTGTGTGTGTGTGTGTGTGTGTGTGTGCGTGCGTGCGTGCGTGCGTGCGTGCGTGTGTGTGTGTGTGTTCCCTTCCCCAGTTAGGTCTGGTTTCCTCCCCTGCTCCGTTCTGCTCCTCCTCTCTGTTATTGGTTTCACCTGTGCCCAGTTCCCCACGCACCTGCTCCTCGTCTCGTCTCACCCCAGCCCTGTGTATATAACCCTGTCTGTGTCTCCATTGTCTTTTGTCAGTGTTGTTTTTGTTCTCCTCTAGTAACTGTAGAGTCTTGCTCATGAGTGAGCATTTGTTTTTGACTTTTTGGAACTTTTGAACTTTGGCTTTGAGTCCTGCAGTTTTTGCTTTTTAGTTCTCACCCCTAATAAAAGGATTCTTTAATTATACAACCTCCCCTGCCTTGAGTTGTGGTGTTCTGCGTTTTGGGTCCGATCCTCCTGTGCCTGCAGCGTGACATCACAAAGCTTCGGTTGTAGGAATTTTTGGGATCAAGGATTTTTTTAAAATTATTTGCTGAATCTTTTCAGCTGTGATTACTGCATCAAGTCATGAGATTCTTGATTTTTACCTTTTTCAATAACACACCAATTCTAAAGATTGAGTTGCTTTGTTATATGGTTATTAGGGCTGCTCAATTAATCGAATTTTAATCACGACTACGATCTGAGTTTTGAACGATTATAAAAAATTTAACGAGCCGATTATTTGCTCCTCCCACTTGCACTGCCCTGAGTTGCAAATGAAGCGCTCCTCCCACAGTGTTGCCAACTTAGTGACTTTGACGCTATTTCCAACAGCTTTTCAGACCCCCTTCTTGACTTTTTAAATCTTAAAAGTACCTGGCGAACACCTCAGAAACATCTCTGGTAACCCTTAGCTACTTTCTGGATAACTGTCGCCGACATTTCCTGCAGGTTAGCTAAACACTCCGCCTGCGCTCCGGACCGTTCTTCAGGACATTAGGAAAGGGAATGATGTACAGGGTATCTGCAGGTTTAAGGGAGCCAAATTTAAGACTTTTTAAGACCTTTTTTAAGGCCACTTTGACCAAATTTAAGCTACAATTCCCAGCTATTGCCTGGAACCGGTGCTAACCACGTTGCAAACGTGGGATTAGTCATCCAGTTACCATTAAACTTGCAATTCCCCATGGCGCAAGCGCCCACTAGCTTAACCAGCTAATGTGCTCATCTAAAAATAGCCCCCTTTCACAACCAACTGAATGTGTACAGTTCCGCTTATGCCAGTATCATACACAAAAAATGCTGAACACTTAACTAGAAATTCATGAAAATTTTGTAGAAATAAAATAATCTTGTTTATTGGGTCTGTTGTCATTTAAGACCTTTGGAAACTATATTTAAGGATTATTTGTCATTTTTAAGGATTTTTAAGACCTTAAATTTGGAAAAGCAAATTTAAGACTTTTTAAGGACCCGCGGATACCCTGGATGTAGTGATGTGTCAGTCGCTAAAGAAACGGCTCTCGGAGTCGGCTCTGTTGGACTAACCAGAGTGAGTGACACACACCGTACCTGCGGACTCCTGAGCCACTAAAAACGGCCAAATGTGCGCATGCGGCACGCTAAACACACGTGCAGCTTGCCCTGATTGCTGTGAGACCGGGTTGGGGGGTGGGGGGTGCAGCTGTGGTTGGGACAATTATTACATTAACTGATGGACTTGTAAATACATAGTTTATAAATAAGGTAGAAATAAGTTCCTCACGCTGATAAATAATAACTAATCTCTCTGAGGACACGGTGCTAGTGCACTCTCCTACAGCACCTTGACACGACTCAATAAATGTTATGCAACATTTTGTGAACATCAATTTGTTTGCATTTATTTGTTATAAATGCCACTGTATAATTCTTGCTGTCAGTATTTGCAAGATATTGCTATTTGGGTCTGTACTGGTTAGACTTAAATGAGTTAAACCAAGGTCTATAGCCCTTGGGTCATAAACTATGAGCTATAAGTATATTGGTCTTTTTATACTGGGAATCAGGAGTTATTTTAGTGATCATCTTGTTTCTTATTTATTTTTTGTCCTGATTGTGCCCTGAGCAATTTTATGACTGAATAAAAACAAATAAAATCAACATAAATTGAAAAATCGTCCTAAATAATCGTGATCTCAATTTCAGTCACCGTAATCGTGATTATTATTTTTGCCATAATCGAGCAGCCCTAATGGTTATATAGTTGCTTTGGGCTGCATGGTGGCGCATTTGTTAGCACTGTTGCCTCGCAGCAAGAAGGTTGCAGGTTCGAAACTCAGCTGCGGCCTTTCTGCGTGGAGTTGCATGTTCTCCCCATGCATGCGTGGGTTTCCTCCGGCTTCTCTGGTTTCCTCTACAGACCACAACATGCCCTACAAGTAAAAAAAAAAATTGTACGTCGCTTTGAATAAAAGTGTCTGCCAAATAAATAAACATAAATAAATAAACATAAACATATAGTTTGTTTTACATTAACAGGTTTTACCCATCGACTCTATGGATGAACCCTTCGAGCCGTCACTTGTAGGTTTCTGAAGAGCATAACTGAGGCCCATCACCTCCATCTTGACCGTGTCATGTGTCTCCTCACTCCCGGAGAGTACAAACATGGAGCTAAGAGCAGGGCTGTGAGGGTGGCTGCAGATGTTTAACACCCATTAAAGTCTGAGCTGATGTAGCTACAAGCTAACCGAAGCTTATTCATACATTCAAGCTTTAAAGCTGCAGTAGTAAGTTTCAAATGTTTTTCTTTTTGGGACTTTGGTAGTTTGTCCTGAAGTTGAAGCGGTAGCAGCCGGCTGTTTCTCCTTGTCTGATATTATTGAGTGGGGAACCTCTCACACCAGTGCTGTTCTGTTGCTAAATAATGAATGGAGGACCCAGGGAAGTGCGGCAGGTGGCGAGAGGGACAACCGGATGGTCCAATTGTTGCTTTCAGTCTGAAACGTTATTGACAGAGGTTTTTAGACAAATGCGAGAGAACCACCTAGTTTTTTTGATTTTATGTTAATCCCCACAATATATTTATAGCTACTGTATATTGTTAGATTGTTAAGAGGCATGGAAAAGAAGTTTTAGGCTAGCTTGTTTTGCAGATTTGCAATAGAAGCTTTAATTGCATCTAAACAGATGAGTTACAAAACATTCACCCCCTCTGAGTTGTCATGACTGTAAACATGACCTATTAAACCTGAAATGTTTTTGTACGAGGCTGTAAACATGTTTATTTCTGCTGTGAAGTTAACATTTTTAACATGGGAGCCAGTGACACCACTCTCTCTGTTGATTCCGCTGCAGGACTGGGCTTTGGGAGTTCTTCATGCTAAAATCATCGCCGCCATAACTCTGATGGGCCCTCAGTGGTGGCTCAAAGCCGTCATCGAACAGGTTAGTGTTACGATAATTCAGTCAGAACACCAAAAAGAGGAACTGTGACTAAAGAAAACACTGAAATGTGTAAAAACATGTAAGAATTTGTCACATGCCACTTAAGAGATTGTCCTCCAAAAAGATCCATCCTTCTCTCTGTGTTTTGTTAGTTTTTATGATGGAAACAGGTAGAAATGGTTTCCTGTTTCCTGTAGGTATACGCTAATGGCATCAGGAACCTCGACCTCCATTTTATCGTGCGGCGGTTGGCAGCTCCAGTCATCTGTGTCCTGCTCCTGTCGCTGTGTGTGCCTTACACCCTCTCTAAAGGCATTGCGCCTCTGCTCGGTACGTGTCATGGTGGAGCGTTGATCTTTTTTCTGTTTGTAAAACGTAACGATCCATCATAGCTTACATTTTACTAAGAGGAAAAAACCTGAGCTCCGAGGGGCGTACTCTACATCGAGCCTTATTTTATGTTTCGTTCCTTTTGCATCACATTAATAGACTTTCCCCTTCCTTTCATTATTATTTTTTTAATCACAATATTTCTTCATTTATTTATCTCATTTAAAAAATATTTTTAAAATTTTTTGAAATCTTTTTCATACTTTTGTTTGTTTGTGAAGCGCCTCGTAATTTTTATCTTGAGAGGCGCTATATAAAAGATTGTTTTCTTTCTTTCTAGACTATAAATAAAAACATTCACATGCAAATTGAAGCTGAAACAATGGAAAGATGTAATTAGCATTAGGGGTGCTCCGGTCCAATCTTGTGATTGGAAATCGGGCCTGATCACGTGATTTTAAAAGGGTCGGGTGAAAAAATTGGATGAAACCCTTTAAAACAACAAACATTTAAATTATCATGAGATAGACATTTTCTAGTAGGAAAACAATGGCTTCGTTTTAATTTCAACAAGCTCCTCTACATCAGTGGTTCCCAAACTTATTTAGCCGCGCACCCCCTTCTATGTCCCAACCATGTCGATGCACCCCCCAGCCCCCACATCAGGGCATGGCTATATATATATATATATATATATATATATATATATATATATATATATATATATATATATATATATATATATATATATATATATTCAGATGTCAAGCTAAACAGACAGGGTTAAAAAAATATGATCGACCTTTTTCCCCATCACTTTCATTTTTTAAATAGTAATTAAAAGCATTCGATACCATTACAATTTCCTTTGATTTAATTTTAAATAAATATTTAGAGTGCCCAGGTAGCACATAATACAATTTAACGGTTTTCTTAAAGTAGGAACGTTTAACCTGTGCGGCCAGAGCGCTCTCCTTCCTTCTGCTCTGCGTAAACCTGAGCTGATCACCTACTTGTGCGTAATCAAATGTCAATAGGGGACAAGATGGAAAAGCCATGAGGTTCACTTTTGCCTCAGACCGACTTATTGCAAAATGACTTCTGCCCAGCCCAGATGTGCTCACATGTGCACCCGTGAGCCGTGGTTCCGCTGGAACGCGTCTGACCTCTGACAGACGCACTCTAAACTTCAGATCTTCGGCACGCTGTTAATAGCCTGAATGGGAATAATTTCTTATTTATTTTGTTACATCCACAATGTTCTGTGTGTGAGGTTTACAACGTCAGAACACCTGCATGAGACAGGTGTTAATTACAATCTGCCAGAATGACTCACCACCTTCAGATTTCTCCAACATCATTAAAAATGATCAAATACGGAGCATATCGGCGTGCGCAGGCCAGAGTGCTGAAGCTCAGCGCATTGTTATTATGAAGCTAGGGCACATGTGGAAGACACGCGCGCGCGCAAAAATATACTTGTTTTCAATTACATTTATTAGGCCCACTTACGTTTTCTTAGGCCCACCCACAAATGAGTTTCTGGCTACGCTAATGGTGACATCTGACAGTCTTCTCTAAGCTCCGCAGCCATTACACTGCCCTAGCGGCAGCTCACGCACCCCCGGGGGTGCGCGGACCACACTTTGGGAATCCCTGCTCTACCTCAATATTATTTGTTTCTTGTACAAAAACAATAAAGTAGCATCACACAATTTACGGCAAGCAGGGATTCAGACGCCAACAGGCTAACGCAGAGCTAACGTGTCTTCTCAGGAGAGCCATAATGTCTTCAGCTGGTGGTATTTTACCCTAACCCTAACTTGGACTGCGACGGCAGAGCTACAGCCACTTGTAAAAGACACAGCTCCATTATCCTCAGCTATCAACTACTTCCACTTTCGGCGTTTCCCTTCGGGCGTCAACAAAGCAAATCAATCAATCAATCAGAGATACTTTATTAATCCCAGAGGGAAATTAGAGTTTCAGTACTCACAATTCAGAGATCATACATCAGTTTCAGTTTCCAGTTCCTCTTTCTCCACTATTTCCCAGTTTGCCACCAACAATGCCAATTTACAGCAAATTCAGACAAAAACGCGAAGCCAGCTGACAAAGTTAGGTTTCCGGCTGCACCCAAGCAGCAGGTGTTGTACAGGGAAAAGTTAGCCTGCCAGCCGAGACGCTGCATGCCTTCTCCATCGTGGGATCGCACATCGCTCAACACAGCTACATATTGAGCAAGTAAACAACTTGAAATATGAGCAGTGCTGCTACTTTTAAATAGATTATTCATAATATAAACACGTTTTTTAATCAGTGTACTTGCCAAACAAGTGAAAGTAAATCTTAAAAGACAAGATGGATGTGTTTTCTTCTTATTTTAATGCTTTCCTGAAAAGTATCAGATCGAGACTCAGAGTCAGACTCAACTTAATTGTCATTGCCTCAGCATCCTCAAGCATAGAAATTTGTCTCCGCAGTACAGACTGACTAGGTTGAACAAGCACATGTGGAACAAAAAAGGATAAAGGCAGACTAGAGAGCATTATCCTCATTTCAAGATCCTGGTTCTGGTCTATAGGGCCCTACATGGACAAGCACCATCTTACATTGGTGATCTTCTTCGTCCCTACACCCCCAGCAGGTCCCTGAGGTCCAGTGATCAAAGCCTACTGGTTGTGCAGCACCAGGCTAAAGACCAAAGGTGACAGATCATTTGCTGCTGTGGGCCCCAGACTCTGGAACTCTACCCCCCCCCCCCCCCCCCCCCCGAGCCTGAGATCAGTGGACTCAGTGGTCTCCTTTAAAAAGCAGCTGAAGACTCACTTGTTCAAGCTGGCTTTTGTATGACCTTCTTCACCACTCTCTCTTTATTCTGCTCTCCCCACCTATTCCACCTTCCTCAGGATCCACTGATTCCCCTCTTTCCTGTTCACTCTCTCTCTTTCTTAACATTTTTTAATCACAATTGTCTCTTTTTGCTCATTTTCAATATATTTTTAAATATTTTCTAAATGCTTTTTTATATTTTTACATTTTTTGTTTTTGTGATTTTTATCTTGAGAGGCGCTATAGAAATGATATTTTCTTCTTCTTCTTCATTAGTCACGGCGCTCATTTTCAAGTAGGTAGAAAAGGAATACATGGTGATAAGAGGTGGGGAGGGATAAAAGGCATTCCATAGTTATCCCTAACAGGGGCTAGCTTTGCTATGATGATGCTATGATAATGATATTTTCTTCTTTCTTCTATGCAAAAAACACCTCAACAAGCACAAAACAACAGTTCACAGACATGAGTCTCCGAGAGGTATCAGCAGATACTCAAAATCAAATAACTGATTTGGAGATTTGGCGCAAAAAACAAACAAACAAAAAAACGTAATCAGAACATCCCTAGGAGGGAGTTTGTGGGAGTTAAAAACGTAAAAAGGACCAAAAAGTAAATGAATCCACTTTTTTCAGCATTAGTGGAAGTTTTCAACGCTTCTTTTACTTTTCTAAGTTCAAACCAAAAAACCCAGATGATGCAAATTCATGTAAAATAATAATAATTATGATCTAAGAACTTGCTCGCGTGTCTTCTGAGTGATCCTGCCCTCTGATTGTGTCCATCTCCTTGTAGGCGTGCAGCCAGAGATGCAGACACTGGTGGAGAGGAGAATCTATCCGTTCCTGCTGATGGTGGTCGTGCTGTTGGCCATACTGTCCTTTCAGATTCAACAGTTCAAACGCCTCTATGAACACATCAAAAACGACAAGTTAGTCCAATTTATCTTTTTTATAAAAAACATGGAGTCAGCCAGCTCAGTGTGATTTTACTCAGAGCTACTTCAGTCAGGCACTAGTTAGGGGTGTGTGTGAAGTGACACTACATCACACGTCTGCTGAGCAGAAATGTGGAGAGCTGAATAAAAGACACTCGAGTCTGATTTAAAGTCCTTTTAGACGAGGCTGTAAAAGAGTTTCTAATGGTTTAAATCCTCCTCTAGGTACCTGGTTGGACAGCGACTGGTGAACTACGAACGGAAGATGAGCAGAAATTCCTCCTCGTCTTTCAGCAGCTCGTCATAGATCTGACGCTGCTGCAGGATGAGTGGAGCCTCTCGCCCTGCCTAACACCGCGGGCCGTCAGCAGCTCCCGTGGTGAAACCGTTTTCTTTCATGACTGGCAACTTCAAACAGCACCTATAAACCTTTGACTAGTCTTGTTATTCACCGCCACGTCTCACGCTCACAGGCCTGGAAGCTCAGACGACTTAGAGCGGAAACTGTCTCCCAGGTTTGATGTGAAAATTGAAATTCTGAGCAAAGTTCTGAACAAACTCTTGAGTCAGACTCGGCAGAACCACAGACACGCTCCCTGTTCTTTCTGCTAGATGTGTTCGTAGCCCCAAACTCAGGTGTAGTTTTAGTTTTTGTTTGGATTTACAGACGTTTGTGTGAAAGTCAGGTTAAGCTGAGCTTAGATTTTACCTCAGATTCAATGTTTGTTCTGAAAAATGAGTCTTTTACACACTTCTAGAGCTGTGGAGGAATGTTCTGGACTTCAGCCTTCATATCTCTGCTGTCATGTATGTTTCGGAGGATTGAGTTCAAAACGCATGGGGGAAATATTTCTGCAGATGTCAAGGACAAGGTTTATTCTTTGGGTGTCGTTTTCTACATTTGTTTTTATTAGTGGTTTATTGTTTTAGATTTATTTTAAAATATGTCCAGACAACAGCAGTTCCCCTGACTTTGAAGCTGTAAATAAATGGGCACACATTTCAGCAACTTCAAATAAAAGCCCAACAGAAAATGTTGAATGTAATTTTAAGGGGGAAACCCCGCATGTGTACAGAGCAGTTGCTTTATTTGTGTATCCCAGCAGAGGGCCGACATGAAAGGCTGCTGCAGAGAAGCAAGGAAACGCAACACGCTCGTCTTCAGTGCCGTAGCTGAACAACCAGCAGCCTGGCTGCTTGCAAGCAAAGTTTAAATATTTAACTTTGTAAATCGTCTCAGAACAATCAGTCGCTGTTTCAGTTTAGTTACCGGGCAGATTACACTAATATAGACTCCTACACACATAAAAACTGGCACCTTTTTACCTGTGTGCTGGCAAGCTGCTAGCTAACTGGAACTGTTTGACAGCTTTTATAGTGGCAGTGACTTTTTGTTCAGTATCAGGCCACATAAAAGCTAATGACTGCAAAAATATTAGCTGTCCAAAATGACATTTCACTTGTATTGGTGTTTTTTTTTTTAATACATCCATCCATTTACGGCCGCTTATCCGGGGTCGGGTCGCGGGGGCAGTAGCCTAAGCAGAGAAGCCCAGACATCCCTCTCCCTAGCCACTTGGGCCAGCGTTTCTGGGGGAATCCTAAGGTGTTCCCTGGCCAGCCATGAGACATAGTCTCTCCAGCGTCTTCCTTTAGGCCTTCTCCTGGTTGGATGTGTCTGGAAAACCTCACTAGGGATACATCCAGCAGGCATTCTAACCAGATGCCCGAGCAACCTCAACTGGCTCCACCCGATGTGGAGGAGCAGCGGGTCTACTCCGAGCCCCTCCCGGGTGACCGAGTTTCTCACCCTATCTCAAAGGGAGCGCCCAGACGCACTGCGTAAAAAACTAATTTCAGCCGCTTGTATCCGCGATCTCGTTCTTTCGGTCACTACCCAAAGCTCGTGAGCATAGGTGAGGGTAGGAACGTAGATCATAGAACATAGTTTTTTTTTTTTGTTGTTATTTTATTTTTTATTATCTTATATGTTGCAGATGGATCTTTAAATGGTTTCAGTTTGGAGACACAGGTTAGTTCTGATCGGACACACATGCTAGTCTCAGAAAGGCCAGTTACAAAGTGTCTTAAAACAATTAAAACCTCAAAGACTTAATTGCAGTTGATGCAAAGTGTCTTTTATAACCTTTACATGGACATACATCAAACATTTAGTCCTCATTTTATTAGAATAATAATGAAATGCCATCTAAAGTGCTGCTAATTTCTCCTGCAACTGAGAACCCTACTGAAACATCCATGTGATGTAGAACTGTAGAGAAAACGTTTATTAAAGTTTAGTTGTTTAAAGAAACAGTTTGTAACTGACCCTACTCAGACATAAGCTATTTTTCCAAACTGAGGCCCTTCAATCATTCATCTACAGCAGGTAATATTTTAATCACCAACAGATTTTTACATAAACATTTCTGTTGAGAGTCTGTAGAGTCGGTGACAGATGCTGCACCAGAATGAATCATGTCCAATATTTATCTTGTTCAGCCATCGGTGTTGGGACAAAGGTTTTGCAGATATTCTGGAGTCTTGTGCATTCAAATGTTTGCATCAATAACTCAAACTGGTTGTATTTCTGCTCTTCTCTTTAAAAACATACTGCAGAATATTACCGTTAGCAGGTCAAAACAGCTGTGTGAGTTGTTTTTGCGTTCAATGTTTCATGTGCTCCGAGTGGTTATAGCTGTGATTATTGTACTCACCACATATGGTCTGCTGGGAGGGGTGTGTTGTGTTTAGAGACACTGCAGATGAATCAGTCTCAGATGGTTGGGTTGACGCAGAAATAACAGCCAAATAAATAAACTCATAAAGGTTTAAACTACAGAATTTAAAAGGCTTTATCTCCACATAAAGTGGTAGTCCCTGTATGTCAGTGTGAAATCTGTCTCTGGCTCCTGTCCTAACACCTGTGACCAGGTTGCAGTCTGGAACATCTTAATGTTAGATTGTAGATGTATGAAGCTAGAATGACTGACCCGTTATTAGAAATAGTTCATGAGCGTTAGCAAGCCCAGCTGTAGCTTCAGTGGTTCTTGCTGCCAGAGAGCGTCACGGTCCTGAACAGGAAAACCTTTTCTAAATCAATGACGGTCAAGTAGACGTTTATTCATTCACAAGTTTGATTACGTTGCACTTTATTCCACAATCATTTCAGATTCTGTTGGAACTCAATCATAGGAATGTATAGGTTTATGTTTTCTCCACTGAAAGTGAGAAATGTCAGTAACTATGTAAGGTGTTTAGCATCGGTCTCTTTCACTGCATTTTTATATTTTAGTTAATATTAACAGCTTTTCTGCCACTACAGATTGGGAATTTACATACATATATACAGTCAGGTCCATAAATATTGGGACATCGACACAATGCTAACATTTTTGGCTCTATACACCACCACAATGGATATCAAATGAAACAAACAAGATGAGCTTTAACTGCAGACTGTCAGCTTTCATTTGAGGGTATTTACATCCAAATCAGGTGAACGTTGTAGCAATTACAACAGTTTGCATATGTGCCTCCCACTTGTTAAGGGACCAAAAGTAATGGGACAGAATAAGAACCATAAATCAAACTTATACTTTTCAATACTTGGTTGCAAATCCTTTGCAGTCAATTACAGCCTGAAGTCTGGAACACATAGACATCACCAGATGTTGGGTTTCATCCCTGGTGATGCTCTGCCAGGCCTCTACTGCAACAGTCTTCAGTTCCTGCTTGTTTCTGGGGCATTTTCCCTTCAGTTTTGTCTTCAGCAAGTGAAATGCACGCTCAGTCAGATTCAGGTCAGGTGGTTGACTTGGCCATTGCAAACCAGTCCACTTCTTTCCCTTCAAAAACTCTTTAGTTGCTTTTGCAGTATGCTTTGGGTCATTGTCCATCTGCACTGTGAAGCACCGTCCAATGAGTTCTGAGGCATTTGGCTGAATATGAGCAGATAATTGCCCGAAACACTTCAGAATTCATCGTGCTGCTTTTGTCAGCAGTCACATCATCAATAAATACAAGAGAACCAGTTCCACTGGCAGCCATACATGCCCACGCAATGACACTTCCAGCACCATGCTTCACTGATGAGGTGGTATGCTTAGGATCATGAGCAGTTCCTTTCCGTCTCCATACTCTTCTCTTCCCATCACTCTGGTACAAGTTGGTCTTGGTCTCATCTGTTCATAGGATGTTGTTCCAGAACTCTGAAGGCTTTTTTAGATGTTGTTTAGCAAACTCTAATCTGGCCTTCCTGTTTTTGGGGCTCACCAATGGTTTACATCTTGTGGCGAACCCTCTGTATTCACACTGGTGGAGTCTCCTCTTGATGACTTTGACACAGATACACCTACCTCCTGGAGAGTGTTCTTGATCTGGCCAACTGTTGTGAAGGGTGTTTTCTTCACCAGGGAAAGGATTCTTCGGTCATCCACCACAGTTGTTTTCCGTGGTCTTCCGGGTCTTTTGGTGTTGCTGAGCTCACCGTTGCTTCCCTTCTTTTTGAGAATGTTCCAAACTGTTGTTTTGGCCACTCCTAATGTTTTTGCTATCTCTCTGATAGGTTTCTTTTGTTTTTTCAGCCTGATGATGGCTTGCTTCACTGATAGTGACAGCTCTTTGGATCTCATCTTGACAGTTGACAGCAACAGATTCCAAATGCAAATAGCACACTTGAAATGAACTCTGGACCTTTTATCTGCTCATTGTAATTGGGATAATGAGGGAATAACGCACACCTGGCCATGGAACAGCTGAGAAGCCAATTGTCCCATTACTTTTGGTCCCTTAACAAGTGGGAGGAGGCACACATGCAAACTGTTGTAATTCCTACACCGTTCACCTGATTTGGATGTAAATACCCTCAAATAAAAGCTAACAGTCTGCAGTTAAAGCACATCTTGTTTGTTTCATTTGATATCCATTGTGGTGGTGTATAGAGCCAAAAATGTTAGCATTGTGTTGATGTCCCAATATTTATGGACCTGACTGTGTATATATATATATATATATATATATATATATATATATGAGAGAAGCTATAAAGTGGCCTTGTAGCACCTTGGAACTGAGCTGGATGCACTCATTTTCAACAATACATTTCAGTTTCTAGAAGCTCTATTTTTTTATATGTGCAAAAAATTTTTATCTGCAGTGGCTTTTACTGTAATATGAAGGTAGACACAAAGTCCTATTGATTGTTGGTTCTGTCAAATAACCAATAAACCATTGTTGAGATTTCTCAAGAGTGCTCTTCTTTGTTTGTTGGGGTTGGATTTGTTTGATAGATTGATGTTTTAATGAGGGGGGATGTAGCTCAGTGGTAGAGCGTATGCTTCGCATGTATGAGGTCCCGGGTTCAATCACCGGCATCTCCATCATTCTTAGGGGCAGCAGTAGCTCAGGTGGTAGAGCGGGTTGCCTCATTATCGGAGGGTCATGGGTTCGATTCCAGCTCCCGCCAGGGGTATCCTGCTGTTGTGTCCTTGGGCAACACACTTCACCCAACTTGCCTGTGTTAGTGGTGGTCAGAGGGGCCGACGGCGCCAAATGGAAGCCTCGCCTCTGTCAGACCTCCCCAGGGTGGCTGTGGCTACGAGTAGCTTACCATCACTAGCAGTGTGTGAATGTGAGAGTGTGTGAAAGCGTCTTTGGGTGTCTAGAAAAGCGCTATATAAGTTCAATGCATTATCATTATTATTATGATAGCTCTGGGCGCCAGAGGTGTAAAACCTAGGAGGGAGTATTTTAAATGTCATTAGTTTTTAGATGGATTACAGGATAATAAAATGGGGTTAAATAGTTTAAAAATGTCTTTTTGTACTCAGTTTTGGGACAAATCTTAAGTTGGCAAACTCACCACTGCCAGTGGTTATTTCCTCATGCTTAATTGATTGATTATCATTTGTACTATTAGGTTAAAACAAGTAATACGATATTTATAACATGGATGCTATGCTGTCAGAAATAATACAATAGCTGCCAACGTTCTTTTTAAAATACACTGCTAAGAATATATGTGAACTCAACAACTGGGTGAAGAATGCAACAATGGATTTTTGTACTGAGAGTAAATTATGTTTTATCTGAAACCATTTAATCATCAACTGGATGTCCACAGGGATGTCACCAGTTTTATTTGTTTTAAATACAAACAGCCAAGAGCTGTTACGCTGGGCACCACATTATCAAGTTTGCAGACGACTCAGTTATTGTGCCTCGCATGAGTAATGGTAATAGAGAGCACGGCCTGGTAGCCAATGACTGGTTAAAATGATGTGAAAACTCTTAAAACATAAATATAGCTAAGACAAAGGAAATGTGTATAGATTTTAGCAAAGGACCTTTTCTGATCGCCTCAGTAGTGATCTACAGCTAGACAGATGAGATGGTGCCACATTATAAATATTCAGGAGTTTTCATTGATGACAAACTGAGTTTTGGACCACAGATAGTCTGTTTAAAAATACTTAAAATAAAAAATAAGCACACCAGCACTTTTATCAGAAACTATGCGCTTTAACTGTTAATCCTGTTTTTATGAAGGGTTTTAATCTTGTTTTATCTAATCTGTTCATACCTTTTCTTCTATTTGGTCATATGGGTCACTGTCACTAAATAACCATTGTTAAAGCCATACTGTGCCACTTTTTATATTTTTAAATAATTTTCTTGAGCCAGTATGTGCTCAAATGACCCTTTACAGGGTTAATGAAATGTCACTAAGACCCCCACCTCCCCCGTGGCCAGAATACCACTTGCAATTTCAGAGTGGTTGGTCGCCACCTGTTGGACTTAGAAAAAATTGAAGCTCACATGCCAGGCGGTGGAGTGTGCTTCCATCGTGTGCATGTTTTAGATCGTGGACACAGCCCATTTGTTTAATTTAGTGATGAATAGGGAATCAGGGATGTCCTGTTTCGAAATCGATATCAACTCAAAAACACTATCCAATTATGTCAGACTGCATCAAAAATCTCCGATATAAGCAGTCAGTTAAGGTTCACATTTTTGCACCCAATAGTTTAAAAAATCATCAGTTTTTTCATGCTTACTGTTATTGGCTCTTGCTCTCCGATTGAGTAATGTCACTTGATCGAGTCTTTCATACATTCCACACTACGGAATAGGTAAAAGTATGCTTGATTTGTGCTGATAACATATCGGATTGATGTCAGTGTTGGTCAATACAGAAGGCTGCAATATCGGTATTGTATCGAAAGTGAAAAAGCTGTATCGGGACTTCCCTAGTGATGAACAGCTCCTGTAGAAACTAAAGAAGGATCAGGAGACATCTCAGCAGTTAGATGAAGGTGTTAAAAAGACGAACGCACAGCGAGGAGATAAGTTTTAGTTTTGGTTCTACTAAACAGACACCAGGGGGTGCTAAAAGCATGCCAAAACTGCCAATTGTGCTTTTAAATGCCAAAACTGCCAATTGTGCTTTTAAATAATGCAGTAAACTTGCTGGCATCCCTCTGGTTACTCTCAGTGATCTCTACCTTTTCGGATCTCTACAGGTTATTGTATCTGATCCCGAGCATCCACTGTGGGCAGTTTCCACATCTGTCATCGGGACGGAGATACCAGGTAGCTGTGTAAGCCTGAGAGAGTGAGATCTTTTATTGTCACCGCAGTCAGACTTTAAATCATTCTTATGATGACTTCTTGCTTTTTGTCTCTCTGTGTTTGGATTGAATGTTGATGAACTGCTGACTGTGCAACAAATTGCCCACAGGGGCAATAAAGCAAAAACTGAGTGCATGTTAGGTTTTTTCAGGACCAAAGCTGAAAAGTTTGTCCCCCTCCTAAAGGTTGTTGCATTCTGAACTCCTTTCTAAACTGTTCTCATGCACACACTAAGGTTCCGTCGTATGTTCTGCCTTTGCGAGCTCATCAAAGCTCCTCAGTACTGTGAAGTGACGATAAGTGACCTAAAGTCTTAAGAGGAGTTCTGCCTTTGGGAAGACGGGAAGATTAGCCTGCTTTCACAGTTTGGCTGCACACCGTGTTTCGTGGACTTATTGAAAAGATCATTGAGAAGATAAGTTAATGGACTTTGATGATTAGCTGCTGATGGGTTTTTAGGAGTTATGCTTTACATCAAGAAAAACAAACTCACTCCTACAAAGGTGCAACATCGACGTGAGTTCACCAGTGCTCACTATCAATATGCCATCAGTCAAACACAAACGTCTGTGTCGGTGTTTAATAACAGCTCAGCTCGGATATAGGATCATCTGTGGTGCTGCAGGAGAGTGCAGCTGTAGGAAACAGGATGTGGAGTTATTTCTGCCAAATCCAATTACCTTTCTGCTAATGCACAGTCTTAACGGTTAGTCCAAGTTCAGATTAGGAGCATATGCAGCTAAAACCAGATTCCCCATGTCAGGATAAATCTGATTTTTCCAACCTGTTCTTCATTTTTCAGAAGCACATTGGGATGAACTTTCTCATGGCGATTAAATCAGGGCATATGCGCCTGTGGTCCGTGCCTCCTTAGGGAGCTCTGAAGAGATTATTGGAGTGTCAAAAAGGAGTTTTTTTCTCTGCTGTGGTGTTAAAATCAGACCCCCAGGCAGTAAAAAATCAGTATTTCCTCTTCCCACGTGAACACTTTGCACCTGGATAAAATTATTATTTTTTAAATTCCTATTGAAAATGTGTTTTTTATAGAATGTAATGGTAGTTTATTTTTATTAGGAATAACTGGATTTGACAAGTCAGTTCTGCATTCCTAAAATATACTTTCATAAACTGAAAAAAGTGTCAAAGGCAGGCCTTTTCTTATTTATGTTTTTAGTTATTAACCAGGCTGCATGAGGCGTTATAAACAAAACAGTTGTGCAGCAGTCATGCAAATCTCTTGCAGTTTGTTCAGAAATGTTATGCCTGGATTTGCTTACAGTTCAATTTAATTTTATTCGATTGATCCCCAGTCTCTCCCAAATGTTTCCGACATTTCTTGCACTTCTGACTTGTGAAAAACAAACTGAAAAGGGCTTCAAGATGAGCTTCTGACGTGCACAGTGATTGGATCTATTTTGAGAGAACATGTGGTTCTGCTAAATTCAAAAATCAAATGACGTATAGGAAGAGCTTGCGACACATATAAGAAAACTGAGAATCGTTGTTAATGTTTGAGGAAATTTTATGTTTAATGACAGACACTTTTGTCCAAAGCGACATACCAATAAGATGTAAACATGCTGCTAATACTGCAGCTTACAATCAGTCAAAGTACTTGGAGGTACTGGTCAGGTTCTATCAAGATACAGCAGCTAGCACAGTTCAAACACAGAAGCAATTCAATGGTCAAAGGTGACAGTTTAGAAATAGAGTGCAAACCTAGAAGGAAGTGCACAAAGAGAGGGCAGTAGAGTGGAGGAAGGGTAGAACAGGGTAGATCCTAGGGTCGAAGATGCTGTCTGAGCGCGAGGTAGGCCATTCCCCCATTATGAGGTGACACATGGAAAGAGCCTTGATTGTCTCCTCCAAATGCGAAACCATGTTCTTAAATTGGAAAAGAGTCCTCCACTTGAGGTCTTGCTTCATTGTTGTAGGTCTAACGCATTTTTAAGCATAGGAAGCAATTGCAAAGCAGTGCTTAATCTCTTTTCCTTCTTTTCCTCTTCATCAGCAACTCTTCCGACTTTACAAATGCCGGTTGTTTTAGGGATGTTTGCTGATGTTAGTTCCTAATGAGTTAAAACGATCAGCATGAGTTAACCAAAAGTTCCACTCAGTGACTCACCCAGGTCATTCTAAGCACACACACCAGCACAGGTACTGTTGGTTCCTGACAATGGCCCAGAAAAGGTCCTTTCTGCCGGTCCACTAAGGAGAGAAGTGCTTTACACTGGTAAGGTTTCCTTGAAGTTCTGATAGTGGAAACACAACTATTGAATAGGATTTAGTGTCAAGATGCCCTTCTACACCATGTCACACATTTCACATTCATCCATGACTGCACCATGCCACAGGCCCATCGTGGCATGGACTGTGTAAGAATGCAACTATGATAGAAGATCACACCAGCACAAGTCTGATAGGTCTTTAGACCAAATATGAGGCCAGTGTCACCAGTACTGCTTTGAAATCCACATCAGTATTTGTAGACTCGCTATCCTGAATACACTAACACAGTGCTCCAATCATTTACTTGTCACAATGATCATGCTGAAAATTAGCCATTGCTAAAAGCATTTTGATACAAACATGGGACTGCAGTTTTATTGTTTGTCTATCAGCATAGTAAAGAAACTATATTTTAGTCTATGTTCTGGTATCTGTCCCTATTAAATAAACATAATGGATGAGTGAATGGATGGATTAACTACCTTAAACTTGTGCATGATAAAAGCAACAACTGAGTTAATACGAGAGACCCGCTGCACCCTTCATCCATCCTTTAAGACCTTGCTGACCTTCCAGATTCTGGATGAATTTTATTTTATTTTTTTAAAACAGCAAAATTTCTACGAAGTGGCTCCAAACAACAAATGTCAACAAGTCGGCTCTCCTTTACGCATCTTTAACAAAATATCACAATGCCTTCATTTTTCCATCACTTCCTCTAATTTATTTATACAAACTTCATCATTTCTGTACTATTAAAAATAAAACCATTAAATCTCTTGCCAGTGGACCCCACACCAATCCCCCTTTAGGGCTTCTCTTTGATCTGGAAATATAACCTGTGCATTTGCAGGTATTTTTGTGCCTGTATAAATTTCTTTTATGCTATTTAAACCCTGAATTTCTAGCTGTTCAGTTATCAATCCAGTGAAATGTATGTGCTAAAACTTGCATGAGATTTTTCGTTACAGATTTTCTCTACACATAGGCCCACTTCTATCAAAGAACTCCTTGTTTGGGGTGATCTCAGTCCTTTATCTTTACCCTGTATACAGATGAGGTAACATGGGAGGGAAATCCAACCTAAGCTGCTGGTGTCGGTTTATTTGGGGGAAGGGGGTCACCTTCATCAGGTAAACTAATGACCATTAACTAATAAACACATTTGTTTTGTAACAAAGACAGTAAATATGCATGGGTCCTAACTTTTTTATGTACACTACCGCTAACACCAGTTATCATGATTTTCTTCACAATGTCTCAAAGCAGAAAGGGTTTCAGAAGTTACAGCTATCCCTCTCTGACCGTAGCAAGCATTTTTAACAGTTTGCTGTATTCCAACAGAAGGGCAACAGCTAGAGACACTAAATGGATTATCTTGAAGCAGCTCAACAGAAACCCTTTCATCCCATTGCTGGCCATCATCAAATAGAGCCAAGTGCTCCTCCTCAGGGAAACACGGAATTAGTTGCTCAGCACCATTGGTTTCACATCAAGTCAGCTGCCTACTCCCCTGCAGAAGGAAACTTCTAATTGGAACATTGAAAATCTGGAAACTTGTGGTCTTTGTTGGGCTTCTAGTGGAAGGACAGTAGACGTTTTCACAATTTTTAAGCTCATGGATACTTTTCAACTTGTCAAACTCCAGGTAGATGAAAATGCAAAGTCGACATCAGCAGCAGAGAATAACTACTTTCACTTCTCATTGAGTCTTTTTGGTCACTGACAGTCCAGAGTGGCTCTCTCAGGTCATGCATATGGCCAGACATCTGGTGGAGTTCCTTACTAGATCCATTCAGCCATTGTAGAGGATTGGCAGCAAGTGATTGCAATGATACCTCTTCTGTGACCTCTCTTAACCCTTTATCTATGAGACTGGTGGACATCAAGCGCCAGGTGGGATTCAAAAGTCTGGTGGGTAGAATGAGGAATTTAATTCCTGGGGGCTGGTGGACATAAACATCAGGTACTCCAAAAGTTCCAGTGGCGCCTCCATGATAATTATAACAAGTAAGTTGTAATTATTTTAAATGGTGTTGGTAACTGAGGAACAAGGAAAAGATTCAAAGGTTCGAGAGAATGGATTTGCTAGAGGAGTTGGACTTAGTAAGACTAGTTATGAAGCCAACAAGCAGGGTATTAAAACACCTGTTATGTCCATCAGCAAGGTCGATGAAGACGGGTTTGAGAGAGAACTTTCCGGAGAGGACGATAATCAAGAAATTGAAGTTGATTACACACGAAACTATTGGGAGGACGAGGACGATGTCTATCAGGTGTTTGAGGAACTGGACTTTGACTCGTTGCCCGATCATTCAGACACCCGAAGCATTGCCTCAGAGGATTCATTCTACCCGCGAGACGATTCAGTCATTTCCCGCTATGTTCGCACTCCAAGCCCAGAAGCAATCTCCTTCTACAAAGCCTGCTGCAGCAACAATGTCATCATTGTCAAGATTATGATCAGACAAGGACTGACAGAAGAAGAAGTGAAAGAGACGGACCGAAACAGACGAGTAGGTGTCTGAATTTTATTACATGCATTCGTTTCAAACAATTGGGTTTCATGTTTACTCAGTTTAATCTTAATTGAAGCCTAGAGTCTTAATTTATTTGTGTGGATTATACTTGTTATGCCGAGTTAATCCTGAAAACTTAAACAGAGGAAAACCGGGTTTCTCTAGTAGTGCCAGCTTTCATCCATGATGTGTTATCTACATGTCTTTTAGTAGTTAGGTATTCTTAAAGTAAATATCGCTATTTGATGAAAGATTGTCATACTGGTTTGGAAAATGAGCAAAAAATCCCAGTAGCATGTCCATCAAGGTTTGCAGAGAGGCAATCAGAGGAAGCTGCGCTGCCTGGAAACAATCAGACCACTGAAGGTTAATTCTTGAAGTGGGATTTAGAGCAGTTGATTAAGCCTCCAGTGACAGATGGGGAGGGTAACCTGCATGGTGACAATGTAAAGGAGCTTCTCGAGGGCCCAGTCTTTAAAGAGCTCACTAAAGACTCTGACCTCTGCACAGGGTAAGAAATGCTATAGACATATGAAGACTCATTAAAGCAGGATATGGAGCTCAGAAATGGTCACTGTGCTGCTATCATGTCACTGAGCCAGAAAACATTTACATTGAGAGATGTTCATGGACTGACAAATGTGTATGTTTTATGTGCATCCTCTGGCTTTTGTGCCTAATTAACACTGACTGAACAGATGAGCTTACCACTATGAAGCCAGTTACCCCCTGGGGGTCCAGGTTGCAAATTAACGTTTTTGACTCATTAGGGTTTTTTCTTTGTATTTCCAAAAAAGAAATCATTACTTCTGCCTCATGTTATCAGTCTTTTCTGCACAACCTGGACTGTCTGAATTTATTCTTAATTTTTATATTTGGACATTACGTCACTCAAAACATAAAACTCAAGTTGGAAAAAGTTATTATTTTTACTGTGAAACCAACAAACATGTATGATGAATGTTTATTTTTTAATTTGGAATGGCAATCTAGACTGTAATTTAATTTTTAAAAATGAGTAAATATAGCAAATGACCCTTTTTTAATATTAGCAGGAAAATGAAAGACATAGTTTATTTGTTTTTGTATAATTATTTACACAGGTCAAGTTACAATGCTGCTAATACCTTATCAGTATTTGAGCAAATATTTACTGTTTACATAAGAATAGGATTTTATTTTTTATTTATTTGGATTTCTAAGATAACTCAGTTTCTTTGTGCCACTCTATGAAGTAGTTTCTGTCCACTAAGCAGAGGAGCACATCAGGCCTGTCATTTCCAAGTGACATAAAACAATAAAAAAGATCATTTGGACTAAGGGAGGAGTAGCTGGACACCTGTTTTCTCCTGCTCCTGACAAACCTTTAGCCCCTCCCCAGTCTTACAAGCATCACAGAAGGGGCGGGGCTTTGCTTCACTCTGTGGAGACAGAGAAATGACACCGATCCGGTGCAGCATTGCCCATTCCTCTCTCTCCATCTTTGAGCAGCTTCCTCTGTGCCTGCCAGGACCACATCTTCCTCGTTATGACCCGGCTTCTCTTTTTCATTGTCTAAGAGCAAGGATTTGATCCGCCACATTGTCATCAAAACCCTTGCTGTGGCATCAGACTCCAGCTGCGAGTTTCACTCTCCTGTCTGTGAATTGAAGCTGAAACTCAGGGAGGCGGAGTTATGCTGCCACGAAGTCCTAAATCAGAGCTGTTCAAAAGACGTGGATCCATGTCTGTAGACAAGAGGGTTAAAGAGTATCCTTAAATCCAACATAAAAATTTCCATAGATGTTTATGCAAATGTGCTTTTCTTATACTTACATAACCATAGATTTGACATTTCATTGTTGTTGGTGTAATTTCAAAATCTCTACAAGCAGTGCTCAAAGTGGAAATGACTACAATATTGTTAAATTTATGATTGTGCATAAGCAAAAATGATTGTGCATAAGCAAAAATGTTTGTTTCATGACAGCAGAGCTCATCTGTCCAATTACATCTAAACTCTGTTTCTCCAAACTGAGGTCATTCAAAGACACTTACCTGATGGGATAACCAGTTCACTGAACAGTCTTCATTCTAGTATTAATAAAGTGTATTTGGTCTTTGAAACAAGCAGAAAAGCAGCAGCAAAACAAGCCTGGATAGATTTTCTTAAAGCCAAAGATCCCTGACAGTCATTGTTTTGAAAAACCATCCTTTTGAATATTTCCGCTGACACTACCACCCTCATTGGGTGTCCTGTGCAAAAGGTGTTTGGGATTTCAGTCCTGAAAACCTATGGCCTTACATAGAAATCGAGTAAAAGCATTTTTGTTTCTGTTTGTAATTATACCACTGATCCAAGCCCTCACACATGACCTGAGTTCTGCACATAAGTCGATTTAATGCAGTTTTAACAGCACTAAGTGTAGTTGGAGCAAATAGGCAGGCAACAAAAACCTAATCAGCAAGTACTGGCTACCAAACTGTCTGATTAAGTCATTTGTAAAGCGCTAACTTAATTAACCATTCTTTTTTGGATCCTGAACACAACATATTTTTCTTTAATTTCCAATCAAACTATTGGAACCTTGATTGTGTGTGTGTGTGTGTTGCAGTCTGGACTAATTATGGCGTGTTACCATGGTTACGTGGACATGGTTATTGCCCTCTCTCAATGTCCGTATCTGGATGTTAACTGGCAGGACAACGAAGGCAACACGGCTCTAATTACAGCAGCACAAGCAGGTAAACACACCTCACACACTTCAGATTCCTATGACTCTTATTTCTGGAATGGAACTGTTCCCAAAAGTCACTACAAGTACTACTTGTAGAACAACTACTACTACTACAACCAATAATAATAGTAAGAAGAAGAAGAAGAAAAATAATGTCTTAGTGCTAATTTATTATTTCGAAAAGTGAAATTTTCATATTTGAAGAAAACACATCATCAGTCATATGGTGGTGCTGCAGCTCTATCAGGATCCCACATGGTGCCGTGGCCTCTCACTGCCTAATGGTAATACATAGTTTTCTGTGTGCTGTAGGAAATGGCCACTGACTTGCTTTTGATTTTCTGCTCCATTAAAAAGAAGTATTGACATCCCTTCATTATAATGTTTAACGATAAAATCCAGCTCTGACACACCTGAGCTTTTATACCATGTGACCAATGGAATGCCATCTCCCTTCAGCTAACGGGTTAGAAACACAAAAAAAATCCAGATTAGGATTCAGAACCAGATGGAAGCTGTCACCTTCCCTTTCAGCCAGGAATCTAATAAATTCGTATGTCAAGCTGAGATGGCTCGCTCTGCTTCAGGACGGAATTTGAGCTTGTCAGTGTTAAAGAGGAAGTGCTGAATAATAATATTTTAAAAATCATAAAATCCCTTTAACTCATTCACTGCCATTGACGACAAAAGTCGTCATTTTAAATCCCAACTGCTCGCTGCCAATGATGACTAAAGTCCTCATTTGCATTATGAGGCGGGTGTCAGAACGAGCCCCCGCACCATGAGAACAAACATCCCAGCTCTAAAGCTGATCTTCATCTGCATGTCACATGTCACATGTCACGTGATCAGGAAGCAGAAAATCCATGTGTTAGGAGATCATGTTGGGTCGCTGTAAAAAAAAGATAGGCACGAACCAGAAAAGCTTCTGCCGCTCACAATTCGACAACGGATTATGAATAAAGGATAGCGCTAGAAACACGCGGATTCTTCCCTACTCTTTGTTTTGGTAGTTTGGGCGTTTACATCATCATAGTGCGCAAAGTTCTGTGACTCTTCAAAAAACAGTAAAAACACTCAACAAACATTTGCAGCGAGAGGCTTTTCTGATCAGAAAACGGCCGGCAGTTAATGAGTTAAAAAGCAAGTCACCCCCTCCCTGGTGACCAACTCCACTCTCATTTCCTGTTTGAAAAATGTGCCACAAGGAGGCTTTGCCTGGCAGACCGAGAGGACGGAGCAGCTAACAAATACACACACAGGCTCACAGTGGCACTGTGACTAGGGGTGTAATGGTTCAAGGGGGTTATTTGAACCATTTTGGTTCGAGCAGTTCGGTTCGTTCCACTTGCATACCGTTTCGGTTAATTTTTTCTGTTAAATAATGCTTTTTTCACACATTTGCGTGATTTAAGTGCAGCAGATAAAAGTTCCTCGGCGAGTTTCCTCACAGACGCTGTATTGGGTGACGCATGATGGCTGCATGCGCCCGCTCTCCGTTTAAAAAATGTGATCTGCAGATTCTGATCAACATCTTTCAGAGCGGATCAAACCAGTTGACTGTCGCTGCTACTGTGGAGTCTGTGTGTAGATGATAGATAGATAGATAGATAGATAGATAGATAGATAGATAGATAGATAGATAGATAGATAGATAGATAGATAGATAGATAGATAGATAGATAGACAGACAGACAGACAGACAGACAGACAGACAGACAGACAGACAGACAGATAGATAGATATTTTTATTCGGTCAACAACAACAATTTATCAATTTTACATGAAAGTAATCAAGCAACCGAAAAAAGGAATAGGTTGATGCCTAGTGGCTTATAATTAACCTATCCTTAACTCCCACAGAGATAATCAAATCCTTAACCAAGGCTGATAGCTAAGATGCATAACATTTAAATAAAAAGCAATGTTAAATCAAGAAATCAAATCAACACAAGGTTAGACATCAAACTAAGTTTCTATAAGTTTGGAAGAAGCACATTTTTAAAATTTTCTTGAAAAACGACAAAGAATAACACATCTTCAGTTCATCATTAAGTCCATTCCATAACTTCACTCCCAAAACCGACACACATCTATACTTAGCATTAGTTCTCACTTTAGGTATTTCAAACATATAAGACCCCCTCAAATCATATTTTCCATCTCTTAATTTAAACATACTTAAAATACAAATTGGAACATTCTTTTTCACCACTCTATACATAATTTCTAAAGTTTTAAGATATATAATGTCCTTGAATTTTAACATAGCTGATCCTACAAAAAATTGGTTTGTGGACTCCCTATATCCAGCTTTATTTATTATTCTAATAGCTCATGTTTGCAATTTAAAAATTGAATCCAGATATGTTTTGTACGTTTTCCCCCAAATTTCCACACAATAGCTCATATAAGGCAAGCAAAGGGAAGTGTACAGTACATAAAGGCAGCTCTTGTGCGATAAATCTCTTGTTTTGTAAAGAATAGAAATAGACTTAGATAATTTCCGTTTCACATGATCTATGTAAGACTTCCAACAAAGTTTATCATCAATTATTATTCCTAAAAATTTAGTCTCATATGCTCTTTCAATTTCAACTTTATTTAGATTCAATTTTACTTCAATATTACTCTTAATACCTCCAAACAACATAAATTTTGTTTTACTTTCATTCAGTGGTAGTTTATTAAATACAAACCATCTATTTAACTTCATCAATTCTATTTCCACTGTTTTCAGTAATTCCTTTATGTTATCTCCAGAGCAAAATAAGTTTGTATCATCAGCAAACATCACATATTTTAAAATATCACTAGCTGTACAAATATCATTTATATAAAGTAAAAATAGCTTTGGTCCCAACACAGATCCTTGCGGAACTCCACAAGTTACTTTTCTAAGTTTAGATTTCATATTATTAATACTCACATATTGGAACCTTCTTTCCAAGTAACTATTTAACTAAAGTTGTACAACACCTCTTAAACCAAATCTTTCACATTTCTGTAACAGTAAAGAATGATCTATCGTATCGAAGGCTTTGCGTAAATCAGTGAACACACCTATTCCAATCTGTTTTATATCCACAATTGTTGCAATATTTTCAATAAATTCCATCACTGCTAGAGATGTTGAGAGATTTCTTCTGAACCCATACTGATGGTCATTCAATAAATCCTATTTTTCAAGAAAAGAATTTAGTCTGTTTTCAAATAGTTTTTCAAGAATCTTTGAAAATGTAGGCAGCAAAGATACTGGTCTATAATTTGACACAACCTGATTATCTCCATTTTTATATAATGGTATCACTTTGGCAATTTTCATTTTATCTGGAAAAATTACAGTTTGAAATGATTTGTTATAAATATAAGTTAATAGTTGAAGGATACTATGAAGAACTTCTTTAATTAATGACATCAAGGCCGTCACAATCCATGGATTTTTTTACTCTTGAATTTACTCACCACATCTGTAAGATCACTCTCACAGACTCCTCCAAGAAACATTGAGTTACATTTATAAGAAGTACAATTTAAAAATTTGTCATCATGTCTTCCTGGTACAGAAATCTCTTTTGCCAAATTGGGACCTACATTAACAAAGTAATCATTAAATTAGTTGACTATACTCTCAATATTCTTAATCACTACATTACCTTCTTTTACGGTTGGAAAACATACATTATTCTGATTTTATATTATCTTATTAAGTACACTTTAAGTAGCCTTTATATTATTTTTAAATTTTTGAAGCAGCTTTTCATAATAACTTTTCTTTTCATATCGCAAAATAGTTGTTAATCTGTTTCTATATTTCTTATATTTATCTTCATTTTCCTTAGTTCTAGTTGTCAAAAAAATCTTATATAACTTATTTTTCCTTTTACGGGCTCTTTCCAGACCTTTTGTCGACCATGGTTTTTTCTTTTTGAGATTTTCAGAAAACTTTTTTAGTGGACAATGGCTGTCATAGATGGACAAAAATATGTCTAGAAATGCATTATATGCATCATTAGTGTCTTCCTTATAAACCTTTTTCCAGTCATAATTTTCTAATTCTCTTTTAAAAACTGCAATGTGTTCTGGTGTTTTTATTCTACCAATGTAATCAATCTTTTCCTCTCGAATATTAAATTGATTATTCATTTCAAGCACCGAAAAGACAGGCAAGTGATCACTTACATCCATGACTAAAGGGCCATTCCCATCTGTACCGGGTCGGCCCAGGCTGGGTAGCGTAGGTTGTTTACATATCTGGGTGGCCTGGTGTTTTTCCGGGCCAACCAAGGCTCATTCTCAGCCCTCTTCTCGAGGGGGTCTGCTTCAGGCCGACCAGGGCCAACACACCCACTGCTGACAGCAAATTCACACCTTCCATTAGAGCAAGCCTCTGATTGGTGGGTAGAATCAGCCCACATGGGCTTAAGACAAGGATGTGTGGAATCAACCGAGCCAGGCTGGGGCCGACTGGGGCTACCCGGCCCGGGCCGACCCGGTACAGATGGGAATGGCCCATAACAGTCCACTGAGTATTTTACCATCTATCTTATTAAAAAAAATGTTGTCAATCAAAGTGGCACTACCCATCTTTATTCTGCTGGGCTTTAGAATCAACGGATACAACCCAAAACTAAACATTGTGTCAGTAAATTCAGAAGTCTTATTGTGATCATTTGCCTTCAATAGATCAATATTAAAATCACCACAAAATAAAGTCATCTTTTCTTTGTGTTTTTCCAGTATTACAGAAATTTCTCTCATAAACTGATCTATGCAGGTGTACGATAAATACAGCTAACTAATATGTTTTTAGATCTTTCAACTTGAATTTCGATTCCATCAAGTTATCCACCACAGCAGTCATATTGTTAACAATTTTACATTTAAGACACAGTATAACAAATATAGCAACACCTCCTCCTCTTCTATTCCTCCTATTTTGCCAAAACATTTCATAACCCTCTAGTCCATCCTGCAGTTCTCTGTCATCATTCAACCATGTTTCTG